CTGAGTTTGAAAAGAAAATGGCTTGCCCGGTTTTTCCCCTGTATCCTTCACATGGATTAAACATTTTCTTTAATAATATTTGTTAAACGTTGCACCTATTTTTCCGTTTTTTCCTGTTTTTACCATGTTTTCCCATTTATTTGTAAAACTCCCGGGAAAATCAAAAAATCTCCCTAGAGTATCTCCCCAGTCAGATTTCCTTAAGGAAAAGTGCTATCATTGTAAATCTGAGCATGCTAGTAGAAAATTTTTCGACAGAAAAAATAAAATAATTAACATTTCTGTAAAACCATAAGCTTCTTCGCTCCACTCAGAATCTAAAAAAAGACTTGTACATATAATTTATACATTATACATAACAGTTAAATATTTTTGAATTTTAGCAAATATTCTACAAGTTTAAAAGAGAAATTAGTATGATAACAGAAAAAAAAATCTTATCAGTCATATTTTACCGAGTCAAATCATTACTTTGTGACTCCTTCGTTGTTCGATTAATATTTTATATATGGAAAATAGAGGCTAGTGTTAGGCTGCCTAAACCCTCTAAAAATATTTTTTTCGATTTACATGTGTTGGGTCTCCCGAATTTGATTGGTCTCATGGGTAAAAAAAAGTTCACCTCACCACTGCAGTAGTGGGTGCATTTAAGAGGTTATTTTTTTTTCTTTCGTTTTCTTTAAAGTTTCGAATAATTGGGAAACACGGAGAAGACAATGTTTTGATAAATGTTTGGACTAACGAAGGAAAAAACCACAACTAACACTACTCCGCTCAGAAACGCTTTTTCGTATGCAATGATTTACCGTTGCATACGGTGTATAAACTAAATTACACTGTACATCCCATTTTTCCAACTTTCCAACTACTTAGGGGACAAATGGGACATGATTCTAAGGCCCCGCGCTCGTTTAGGTTTTAATGAGCCGTTTCTAGTAAGTGAACCGATCCGACGTCTCACGCGATACCTTCCTAGATGGGCGGGGGTACGTCCGGCTTGTTATACCGTCGAATCAGTTTAATCGCATCATTTTTTTCACGAGCTTTTCGTGTACTTCGCGGTTATTATTTGAGTTTTTAGGTATTTAATCACTTCAACCGCAATAACAACGTGGCAGCTTTCACTTAAATCTTGAATCAATAAATCGCTCAAAAAACTCAAAATAAAACAATTATCGAGAAATAACACAAATGTTCGATTATCCGACCGAAGCACAATCTTGTTTACTTTATATTAATAATCCCGTGCGAAAAACGAAGAGACGAACTGTTTAGGTAGGTAGGTAGGTATGTACAGTAACGCAAATATTACTACCGCAATACCGCGCAATCGAAGTCCTTGTTTCGACCGCTTTGTCAGCATCAAGTTTTACATAGGGTTTTAGTTTTTACAATGAGCATTGTAATATTATTTGGATTTTGATCAAACATGAATCCGATTAAGGGTAACTCTCAATATTGACGTTCTGTTATCAATAAAGGATGCCGGAATAGGCATTCCTCGGAATTGGAGTGTAGGGGATGTGGATTTTTTANCGTGAACGGAACATATTACATATCATATTGATTTATATGGGTCAATCTTAATTCTCCATTTTAATCAATTAATTTAACTCTCCGTTGGTGGCCATAATAATATTTTTGAGGTTTTAGAAATGTCAATTAATTTAACTCTCCGTTGGTGGCCATAATAATATTTTTGAGGTTTTAGAAATGTCAGCCGTATTGATCAGATCAACAACCAATTTAAATTCTAACGGACAATAATATTATTATTGTTGTTTTACATGTTACTCTTGTAGTCGTCTTGTTACATACTAATATAATAAAAGTGAGCAATTCGAGTATGATCTTGTCCAATCGCTTCTGTTGAAAATGTTGAAATAAAGATTTCATTTTTTCTCGGATCTCGCGCAATGCCGTTAAAAATTAATCATTGCGCCCCTCGAAAATTACGGTTTCAAATATAATATACTACAGGGGAACGTCGATAAATTGAAAACCTCGATTACTTTGACTAACCGTAGATAACTCTAACATTAGCTTTGTTCGGTTTAACAAAAAAAAACGTACACATTTTTACATAAAATGTACACTGTTTACTATGTTTTTGATAAGAAATACATTACAGGTAGTGTAAATTATGTGTAAAAGAAATGTACGCTCTTTGCTAAAACTAACAAAGCTATTCTGTGTTCCGAATATAGACATAGGACGGATAATGACGGACAATTTTTATAATCATTTGTCTAATCGGCTAGCGCTTCCCATAGTTTAACCTAATAATTTTTTAGTTATACAATTTTAAAATAACAATAATAACATTAACGATGCATTACGTACACAGAACATAATGTAATATTATATGTACAATGTGCATATATATCACTGTGAATGTCCGCAGTTGGCGAATGCTGACAGTCAACCGGATTAATGTCGTAGTACACCAAAGTCATTGGTGAATTTTGGCAACTTTGGAAACATTCACTAGTGAATGTCGACATTTGTGTAACGATACTGGTGAATGTTGGTTATACCAATATCGTTTTCTTTAAATGTAATCTAGGGATAACGGAAAAGTCAAAATAATATTATAATACTATAATACTACCTAATACTTATACAATATTCGGTATTGTATAAATTGATAATTTAATAAAATGTTTCATTACCTTGCCCGGCTATTTTTTATTAGCTGCATCCGAATCGAAGTGGTTTTGATAGGTAGTGCAATAGTTGGGTCCCAATGAATTTTGAGTACTATGCTAGTTGGGTTCTGGCTTTCAGCAGATTGTATTCTAGTTGCATTCTAGTTCTAGAGTCCAAATGTTCACAATCAATAAAAACAATTTTCCTTCTCAATTTTACAGACTTTGGACTGTCAGTAATTTGTAGTTTAAAATAAAACACATGTACGATTAAAACATTTTCGTTTTGCCCAGATGAATTAATATTTTCGAAAACATTCAGAAGGTGGCCTCCGGTCGTCCAATCAATACTAATTTACTATATTATAAAAAAAAAAAAAAAATTTAAAAATGTATTATTTAATTTCATTTAATACTAATGCACGTGGATAAACCTGTATAATAGAGCGTTTTAACCAAGCCAAAACGGTTAATGTTGCCAATGTTTTTCTCAGTCATTTTCTCCTTTATAAATTGTTCTTTTTGTAAAATACATTTTTCCCATGGGTACTTCTCATTTTGACGCAAGTGTCTACTTGGGTATTTTTTAGAACTTCAATAAATTGGTATACATTAGGATGGGCCACATAAAACGTGGAATTAAAATGGAATGATTCGCATGCGTTAGTCGTTCGCACTGTTTTCGCATTAAACTCCAAACAAAAATCCGGCGGGAATTTGGATTATTGATCAATATAATTTTTCAAAAACATAATCCACTAAGCAATTAGGTTAATATGATACTATTTACTCGGAATCCAACTAGCGTACTACCTATGGAAATCCAGAGCCAACTAGCATGGTACCCGCATAAACCCGGGACCCAAACGGTGTAGATTTTTTAACGCGAGACCAGACTCGGGGATGCTCAGCTTTTATCATATCTAGATAACAACCACGCTACGCTGGCTCGCTAACATCGAATATGATATTGTCATTCAATACGGTTGTATATTTTAGTGTATACTATTGATGTGGACAATGATTAAAACATTTTTTTTTTTTTTAAATCAAAAAACGTCCCAAGATAACGGGGTAGGGTGCGGCCACCGGTATAAGTAATTTGATGTATACCCGTGAGCAACGGTAAACCATTGCTAACGAAAAAAAACGATCCTGAGCGGAGTCCGGTTGACAGTGTCGCTTTGTCAACAATATATACATATATATACATACATACGTACACGCCATACTGTGGCGGAATAATTAAAAAGGCGTTCGCCATACGTCGGCGTTCGCCGATTGCGGACGTCCACGGCGACACGTACAGTGTACGCCGTTATAATAGTTGAACGCTGTAACAGCACGCGCGTACACAATTCAAAAACTGTTAAAAAAGTGAAATTGTCTTCCCGAACTCACGACGGGCCGAGAACGCCCGGCGAGAGCCGGAAACCTCGGCGCGTCGGAGAGTCGCGGTGCCCCTTTGAAAAAACGTCGGCCCGTCGGGGTCCCGCTGTACTCGTGTGCGTTGTGTTCGCAGACAAGTGCCGCCGTTCAAATGGCTGCTGTGCTGCCGGAACGGGAACCAGGAGCAGCTGAGCTACACGGAAACGCTGACGTCGTCCAACCGACAGGTGAACACGTCGTTGTTGCGCAACGCCACGGTGCACATGCACTCGGTGGTCAGAGCCCCGGTCCTGGACCGGATGGGCATATCGGTCGAGAAGAACAGCTACGCGGACTCGTTGCTTTAGACGCGCGCGCGTGGTTATTGTCGCGCGTCCCACCTCCCCACCCCCCCCACCACCCTTTCACCCCTCCACTCGCCGTACGCGCAACGACGGTGACTTTTTAACGAATAAAAATAGCCCCATCCGCACTCCGGCGACGGGCAACGCGTCGGATTCCGCCCCGTTGTGCGTTCGAAAAAACCATCACAACCGCGTTAATACATTACATTTCTACAGACATTGTTGCGATACATTATTCAAATAATTACAATTATCGCAATTATAATTATTATTATTTATATTATTATTATTACTACTACTACTACTGTATATCTCCAACCTAAAATTATTATTATTATTATGTTTAATATGTATTCTGTCGACTGACTACTTTTTTTTTCTTTTTTTTTTTTGTCCCTAAAACATACAATGTGCGTACAAACCTTCGATATATATATATATATTCATAATATTATTATTATTATTATTAATTATTATTATTAATTATTATATTGTATTCCTTAATGTCGCCTGGATTCCTATTCGTACTTACGTCTTTATAACCAATATAGGTACCTACTCGAATAAATGTAAATAATTTTTGATGTTTTTAACAATCGTTAATAAAGAATAAAAAAAAAAAAAAATACAATAGCTTAATAATCACATAAAATAGTTTTCGTTTATTGTTCCCATTTGTAACTCGCTAGATTCTTGTAAACGATGCACATCGAAGTACAACATCAAAAACTATAATTTTGTGACATCATGACAAAATAAAATCAATAGCATTATGGTAAATAATTAAAAACCATTCTACATTATAATGTTATTAATACAGTACATTAAACATTTTTTATGGTTTCATCGATCGGAAATTGATTGAAAACATACTTACATAACGATTATATAGACTACCTACGTAAATGTTATGTTACACGACACACGGTCATTCGATGTCATTGATACCGCTCTTTTTAGTGCTTATGAGTTCCTTAAGTTCATTCATTTGCTTCTCGGTATAACTGTGGTTATATCTGCATAATGACCTGTTGAAAAATATCCAGATCAGGTTCAAAGTGACAAATATAAGTAATAATGATATAATTTACAGTTTCAAATTTAACAAACCAAGGTGGTTTACTTTATTATGACCCAGATACAGTTTTTATAATAAAAAATAGTTTTTTTTTTTATTGACAAGATAGTCAGTAAAATAATAGTAAAAAATGGTAAAAACAAAAATTATTCACACTAATCAGTGTACTGTACGGTTTACATATGTCCTATTCAGTTATATCTTTTTCTAGATGATGTACAAATAACGTTTCAATTTATTGTTCCATCACTAGATATGATACAGACAAAAAATATAATAATTTAAAAATTAACATAATTTAGAATTTTTTTTTTAGTAAGATATAGTGCTTACGGTGAATCTGAAATCAATAATAGTTCAATAAATGTATAAATAAACATATTTAACTATGATGAAGACATGTTTGCAACTTGTATAACCTATCCACTAATGTGTACTTAAGTACTATGCTTGACCAGCAATGAAATAATTAATGTCTACTACAAAAACATATCCGCATAATGACAATATACACATACAAATTGAACAACTTTACGAGTTAAAAATATGGGTGTTATACATTGTTAGAAAATTACTTCCCTTTTGATTATTCTAAAGAGTAATTGTTTTAATAATATTTAATTTATTTTCTCAGTTAAAGTATATTATAAAAAATGAAAATAATTAAAACTGCTAACCGTGAAAAGGAAATAAATTCCCATTCTTTATCCAATTATCTCCATTGGATATTATGTTCACAATCACAATAGATATGTAAATTCCACATTATACTATCAATGATTGAGCGTATATTATATAATATATGTATAAAAATGCATCAATTCGGGCCCTAATAATTATTATAAGTAAAAACAAATCCGATGCCAATGATGGATATGCCACTGTTGTAAGTGGAAAGTTGAGAAAGTAAAATACACAGTTATTTACTTTATATCTTTATGTAATGATATATCATTGCTAACAAAATAAAATTCTGAGCAAAATTTGTTTAAACATGATTTAATTATTTTTAACCAAACAAAATCAAAATTAATGAAACTTGTATTACAAAAAACTGTTTTTTCCAAATTTAATTAAGAAATTGAAAACTGCTTAAAAATCAAAGAATTTACCAACTAGATCCTTAGTACTTCAAAAATACTACCAAAAAGCATTCTTTCGATTTTATGATTAGAACAAGATTTCTGGTAGGAAAGTTGTTAACAAATAAAAAAAAAATTATAAAAAATGTGCACACATTATAGTAAAACTAATTTATTCCTTGCTACACTCAGAATCTTAAAAATAAAAATAATAATTATACGCTTACCAATAAGCAGAAGATAAAACGATGAAAGAACCAAAGCCAATGTGTGTCGACTTTGTTACTTTGCTGGTAAACATAAAATGACCAATTCCTACGGCGAATCCTCCAATTATACCATACAGATATGAGTTCCGAAAACATGGAATTTTTGACAAATCCCTACCAAAAAGCATCACGGGCTAAAAACAAAAAATTAAAATTAAAATTAAATATTCTCAGAGTTGCAACATAAGAATTCAGATTGGCAGAAGATAATGGAAGATCAAAATAGATAGATAAGGATATGTTTGAATGATCTCAACAATCTTAAAAAATAAAGAACAATAACAATACATTTTTTTATATATATATATATATATAAAACTACAAATGGGCAGAGCCCAATTGTTTGTACATCGTGTTTAACTAGAACTTTCATTATTTATAACTAATACAGCATACTTACTTAAATTAACAACATTAAAATAACATCTACATTAATTATTAACTAAATGCAAGAGTAGATCAATCAGAGTTTTCTAGGAACATAGATAGACGTAAAAGGTCATTCTCACCATGGAAAAAAGAAAAATTTAAATAGAAAATATCTAATTAATGCAATGGGTGAGGAAAGACATTGTAAGAAATTTTAAAAATATAGAACTTAATATTTAATTACCTAAAAATTGACAAAAAAATATATTATTATCCGGTAATAAAAAAAAAAATGATATCCTGACAAACTTATAAATATATGTGTGTATAAATAAGAAAAAATAAGTTAAATTATTAATATTATTCACGTTTCTCACTACTGGTGAATCAAATTGATCAAAAAGATTTAGTTAAAGCTTAGGATTTATAAACTTGAATTGTATGAACGTCTTGATTTAAATGATTAATAAGAATTTGTGACACAATCTTACACATTTCGAAGTCATGCTTCATTTATTTTTTGGAAATCGTTTAGCAACTTTTGACATACTTAAATAAATTAAGTCAGTCATAAAATTGATCAAGTAATTGTTTACATCACTTCTGTTTTGAAAATTACTATTTTCTCGCGTTACAAACGCCATCTCTATGTTCTGTAAATCTGTGTTTTCCCTTTTATTAGATAAAAGATGCATGGGAAATTCACTTAAAATTTCGCGCGACAATTTTGTTGACTTTGTTCAACTGTAGCAACTTTTTGTTCCTTGTTTTTCATCCGATCCATAAGAATTCATTAACATTTTCTCATTCAAGTATTTGGTAATTTTAAATTAGTATGCGTTCTGAAAACCAAAACAATATTATACTTAAAATATCTATTAATCATATTTATATTGTAACTTACGTCTTACTATGCAAGTATGGAAGTAAAAACTCTATTTGTTTGGCGTATTTCCACGGAGGAATACGCTTAGCAGCTAGTCTACTTCTTCTTTCCATTCTTCTATAAACAATAATTTCTCAAATTTTTTTTTTTTTTTCAAAACCATTATAAAAACAATAATTTAAACACAGATAGAAAATTAAAACAGTTTTCCATCTTTGATAGATATTATTAATCGTTTATTATCATTAACAAACATTAATATCGTAATACAAGATCTTTCAAATTGTGTTTACTGCCTTACTCTTAAAACTGTAACGTATGATTTGAAAGACCCCGTGTAAATGAGTGTTGTATAATATGGATTTTTTCATTCAATTCAGAATTTCTATTTAACGGTACTTTCTTGCCCGTGCCGAACAAATTAAATAATAATGATGAAAACTGTTTTTTTTTTTTCTTTTTTCTGTTCACTTTCACAATCCATTTTAACGAGATAACTTATAAATTAACAAAAACCATATTCAATCCACTCGTTGGGTATTGACAACGATAGTAAAAAGTAACCTAAATTATGCCCGAAAATAATCTATCTCCGTCTTGCAACGGCGATAACCCCAGTAGAGAGCTGCTCGACCCGAACAGATACTTCAATTCTGCCCGTTCATAGAAATTGCAGATGTATGGCATCACGCTTTATAACGAACAACACGTTTTATCAACAGTTTCATATGTGCTTAACGAGTTTGGCGCGTTTTAGACTAAAAACCTACGTGAACTATGATAAATCCATTATCTGCCGAATATTCCCAAAAAATGAATTACTTTTTACCTTGTGTTCATCATCGCTCGATACCGACGCCATAGCTTCTGACGATATTAATGATCGATTAATGGCTCACTTGGCCGACGAATTATTATCATCGAAACAAACGAACGGTGAAAAGTAAAACCGGCGATACCACATAGGAGAAAGAACCAACGAGTAACGAATCGAAAAAAACACATTTCCGTCGGACAATCACGGACACTGATACCCGATATCTTATCACGTTTTCTTACGTGATATGCGAATCCGAATTTATCATTGTAAGTCGTAAACTACCTGCAGCTACCCGAGTACTTAAAACATAAGTTTAACGACCTTTATACCTTTATGTATGTAATAATAATAATAATAAAAAAACGGTTTCACTATAAATATAGGCAATTTATTTGTATTTTTTTTTTCCAATTAGAACCAATAGCGTTTTATTAGTAGGTACCCATTTGAAGGTTGGTCTTTTTAAACTATGATTTACGAACATGATTATCACAGAACAATATTATCATTGTTGAATGCAGCCTGTACATTTTAAATTTAATTTTTTTTTTAATGATAATATACCATGACAGTCGAGAGTAAGCGGTACGGTACTCTGCCCTGATTTTTGTACAATGTCACTTTGAAACACCCAGATTCAGGAATTTAAAATTAGATTTATGGTGGCCATGTATCAATTCAAAATCTATGAATGTACATTAATATAAATCTCTTTTAACTGATTAAATATGATATTACTTATCAGATGAGTACAGTATTATTTATTAGAAATACATATTAAAAATCCATTGGATTTTACAATACATAACTTGAAATCTAAATTTAAATGCCTTTTAAAAAATACATTTTCTACAAGAGTAGTTCACAGTTGATAAATTACACATGTCCAATCAGATCTCATATTGCTGTTGAAACAATTTTTCTCTTCGGTGAAATTCAAAGTTTGTCAATGAAAAATGCACAATAGCCAATAGGTATTAATGTAAATTTGTAAAATATAAGACCACAAATATTTTGTTATTATATTCTATTCGCCGTAAGTTGACACACTCGCTTGACGAAAACCCCTCAAAAAACATCTGTATACACGATTGCGGCGACCGCCTGCTGCCTTCTATGACAGCAACGACAATTACCGAACACTGCAGATTAATCACAGACCACGGCGGTTCAATGTATGTGTGGAAGCAGGTCAATTTAAAGTGAATAGTTCATACAGATTTTAAGAAGTTTGGAATGGTAGGTGCTTCCGCTCCTTAGCATTCATCCTAAAATCAACATTATGACTGATCGTTAGGTACTAATGAACACGTTAATAATTCTATTTAAAAAAAAAACTGACATGCTTCACACAATGGATGGCCACTGTTGTAGGTGATAAGTCAAAAAGGTAGGATATAGAAAGCAATAATTTAAATGCGCATGCAGCGATAAACCATTGGTAACAGAAATGATTTGAAGCAGAATTTGGTTATAAATGTTTAAAAAGCTGCAATATTCACAATTTCTATTAAAAATTGATATTAAAATTATCATGGAAAATACTAAATTAAACTCGTCTTTTTCTTGTTGGCCACTAAGAAAAACTTATAATAAACCTCCGGTTAAATTTTCAATCATTTCTATTGGTCCAATAATTTTATCCACAAAGTACCTACTAAAAAAAAATTGCGTAAAAAACTCCCAAATTAAAGTAACTATAAATAACCATGTTTTGAAAAATGTATGACATAGAGAAAATTAAATGTTTTCTGTTCAAGTTTTAAATCTCTACGAATATTTTTAACTGACTTGAAATAAAAAAAAAACAAAATTAAAAATAATAAAAACATTATTTTTATTATTTTCCCAATACGAAAAACTGCTTGGAAAATCAAAAAACTTGATGGTAAATTGTAAAACTATGCCTTACTTCATTCAGAATCAAAAATAAATGTTTAAAAACATAATCCTTCACAATTTTAGTTTTGAACTCTATTGTCAATCATATTATTATATAACTTATCGGTAAATAACATTTACTAGATCTTTCTGAAAATCATATTTTCTTCTCAATTCAATAGATTACAGTCTACAAGTTATTACAGTGCAATTATTATAAGTGCAATATACATTTTAAATACCTAACTTTATTATTCAATTCAGAAAACAAACATAACTGATTTTGATAAGTCCCATTTTTACTGGCCTCAAGGTAAATTAGTTTGTGTCTTTAAACAAAATATTAAATAATATTATTTTAACACAAATTAGGTAAATGTTTTGTAATAACAGTACAATATACACATAAACTGTAAAATTGATTTTATAATTGTAACAGTCAACAGACAATAATCTAAATGACAAAAAACTGATAGCAGTATAAAAAAAAAAAAAAAAAAATGATTTTAAAATGTGACCATTTTATATAGAGGTTGCGCTAAAGTTTTCGGTTTTTGATGTTTGCTGGATAACAAATAGTATTTACATAACACTCTACTTAATTTATTCGCTGAAACACGAACAATATTTACTTTAAAGAATACAAAATGTTTACAAGGAAAACATGAGTACGAATGGATTTAGTATCATTTACTTAAATTATGATGCATTTTTGGCTAAGGTTTCAGCCTTAATTACTACTTCTTCAATTGGTCCAACCATGTAGAATGCAACTTCAGGCAAATGATCATATTCACCAGCTAAAATTTTCGAGAATCCCTAAAAAATTGAATTTGAATAGTAAATAAAATTGCAGATTCAACAAACTGTTAATAATTAAATTCAAATATAAAACTTTTAATATTTACTTTGATTGTTTCTTCAAGGGGAACCAATTTTCCAGGGTGTCCTGTGAAGACCTCAGCAACTTGGAAAGGTTGGGACAAGAATCTCTGGATTTTCCTAGCTCTGGCAACAGTCAATTTGTCTTCTTCTGAAAGTTCATCCATACCCAAGATGGCGATAATATCTTGGAGAGATTTGTAGTTTTGTAAGATTTTCTGAACTCCACGGGCAACATCATAATGTTCACTACCGATGACGTTGGGGTCCATGATACGGGAGGTGGAATCCAATGGATCTACAGCCGGGTAGATACCTAACTCAGCGATAGCACGGGACAATACAGTGGTGGCGTCTAAATGGGCGAAAGTTGTGGCTGGGGCAGGATCAGTCAAATCATCAGCGGGTACGTAGATAGCCTAGAATAAACATTGTCAATTATAATATACAATATATATCTATTAAAATTACTAACAATAAACTATACATACCTGTACTGAGGTAATGGAACCTTTGCTGGTCGTAGTAATTCTTTCTTGCATAGTACCCATGTCAGTGGCCAAAGTTGGTTGGTAACCTACAGCTGATGGGATACGACCCAACAAGGCAGACACTTCAGAACCGGCTTGTGTGAAACGGAAAATGTTGTCAATGAAAAGCAATACATCTTGTCCTTCTTGATCTCTGAAGTATTCAGCGACAGTAAGTCCAGTGAGAGCAACACGAGCACGGGCGCCGGGGGGTTCATTCATTTGACCGTATACCAATGCTACCTAAAATTGTAATTAATTTAAGTTTAATATATATAAGATAGATGTTCTTAAATAAATTACTTTTGAAGTCTTGTCGGTAAGGGAAATTACGCCAGACTCAATCATTTCACGGTACAGATCGTTACCTTCTCGAGTTCTTTCACCTACACCAGCAAATACAGAGTAACCTCCGTGAGCCTTAGCAACGTTGTTGATCAGTTCCATAATCAATACAGTTTTTCCTACTCCAGCACCACCGAACAAACCTGTGTAAATAAGACATGCAATGTACAAATATTCAAGTAGTCATAAAATTTCATTTTAATCCATAGTTATTTGTTGTAATTACCAATTTTGCCTCCCTTTACATATGGAGCCAGTAAGTCTACAACTTTGATACCAGTGACCAAAATTTCTTGTTCAACACTCATTTCAACGAAAGGAGGGGCTTCGGCATGAATGGGGGCAGTCTTGTCAGTTTGAATGGGACCCCTCTCGTCAATTGGTTCACCTTAAACAAAATGTATTTAACTTGTTATTATAATTATTTTAACTAACTAATTTTTCACTATAAATACACAATATATTTACCGATGACATTGATGATACGACCCAAAGTTTCAACTCCGACTGGAATTCTGATGGGGGATCCACAGTCGAGTACTCCCTGTCCTCTGACAAGACCTTCGGTACCATCCATAGCAATAGTTCTGACAGTGTTTTCACCTAGAGTAATAGTAGTTAGTAAAAGTATTGGTTCCAAATATGTGAGAGTTAATAAATTGTTTATTATTACTTTTATATCTAAATAAATATTAAGTAAAATAATTACCCAAATGCTGAGCAACTTCAAGTACAAGACGGGGAGTCCTGTTTTGTACTTCAAGAGCATTGAGAATGGGAGGTAATTCTTCATCAAACTGTACATCTACAACAGCACCGATCACAGCAACAATACGGCCCTGGGATGTACCAGCTGCTGGCTTGGTTTGAGCTTTGTTGTTAGCTGAATTCAATAAAACAAATTTATTATTTACATACCTTAAAACTATAAAATAAATAATATAGCATTCATTTAAATCTTAATACATTTTTCTCAATATATTATATATGGTATAAATAATACAATATACATTAATGATTAAGTAGCAAGTTGTAATTAGTTAATCTTAATTATTCAATTAAAAGAATACCATATAAATACCATATTATAATCGAATCTAATTTACAGTAACAAAGTACATGTTATTATGAAAGTAGCCACCGTAATTTGTGCAATAAATCTAACAAACACCTACACTGGCGGTGAATTCCAATAGTCTACTAATGACCCAGTTTCGATATATATTATATAGTTACTGATCGGAGCAAAATAAAATGAAGTACAGGCAGGTAATTTACGTAATTGTCATCTTTACAGAAGCAGTAGTCATGGGACATAATACAATGATAATTCATAACCACATAACACAATATTTTAAAGGTTTCATAAAATTTGAATGCTACGAAATTCAAATCATTGTACTCGTACTACCCAAAAAGAACGTAAAAAAAAAAATGTGAATTGGCACATTTAATACAAAACACACTAGATAAACAAGGTGTCAATTTTGCCCTAAAATTATAGACATTATTCGATTATACACTAACCGTTATTTATTATTATGGTGACATTCAGTTTAGAAAATATAACGAGAACGAAACAACACTTCTATGTTGAAAAGGAATTTAGATTAGGAAAATAGTTTTAAAAAGGGCAAGCGGGTAGGTCAAGTAAGTGATACTATGTAAAGGCCAATAATTGTCAAATTAGTACGATATCGAGTAAAGCCAATTGCTCCATTATCGTTCCAAGCGTCAGAACGAGACCAAAAAAAAAAAAAAAAAATGGGCCATAACCTTATCTCGGAATATTTTTCAACTAAAACAGTACAAGGTCAAAAAAGGTCATTCGGCGAATTTTTTATCGAAAAGATACTATGACCACAGTATCGGCCGATAATTTGGAAAACGAACCGAACACATTTAAAACGGAACAATTTTCCAGTTAGACAGTTGGACGGGTAAGGCGATGATCACTTCTTAAGGATCGGTCAACCACAGTGGCTGGGTCCGTTAAAAACCGACCTTACAGCCCAGCGGCAGACACGGCGTTTTTTTTAAACGCTCCTCATCAGAGTTACAAGAGTTGTGCCGCAACTACAGGCGACACAAGACCGTAACAGTTAACGGGTTCAAAGGGTCCGGGGTCAAATATGACGGTGCCTGATAGAAAACAATACTGGCGCCCGCGGGCGGGCGCCATACTCACCGGTCGACGTGGTGGCGACCATGGCTTTTGGCAGTTCATTGTGAACGATTTTCGGCGTCAGGTTGCTCTTGCCGGCCTTCAGGGCTCCAAGGGCCGCCCTGGATAACGCGTTCAACATGATTGCAGACTGTGTGGACGATTGCGAACGACGTAAAATTGCGTACGGAAAGGAGCTAAGCGGACGGCCACGGATAAATGTGTGTCGAACGGGGAGACGGGAACGACGACCGGACAAAATGGACGACCTACGCCTGGGCTACCGCCCCGGCGCCGCCGCTGCGTTCACCTCTGCGCGGTCGTCAGCTGTGCGCAACCGGAACATGTGTTTTCCCGCGGTCGGCCAGTCGCCGGCAACACTGTCGGACGCGGTCGGTTCGAAAACGAAAAGCCCGGCAACCGTCTGAACGCCGGGGTACGGTAATCTCGTTTAATCAACGCGCCGCGCCGTGTCGCCCGGTACCGGTTGTAACGGCGATCGCGGTATCGTCGTCGTATAACTTCGCGGACGGGTTGTCGAACGTGTTGCACGCGTCGCGCGGCGCGCGTGTCACGTGCACGCGTACAGTACCGCCGAACACGTGCGAATCGCGGCCGTCCGGCTCTGTGCGCGCGTGCGGTACAACGTAAGGCCTCGATTACGCTGAGCGATTTTACACGCCAGTCGCTGGCGTTCTCACGCCCCGGCGAGTAAAATCGCTCAATGTAATCGCCCTAGCCGGCGATATCGTTAGTGTGCCAGCGGGTAGTGGCCCGTCAATACGTCGGAAGCTGTAGTTCGCGCGGGCGCTGTTGCGATTTCTCATTTATTGCGACGGGAGTTGGAAAAGAAATCGTCCGAGAACAAGACATTATGGACCAGAAGTCGGATTTCAAGGCGCGAGAAATTGGGCGCGTGCGGTACATCATTAAAAGAATTGAAACACGAAGACTGCGGCCTACCGAAATAACCCAACGACGAACGGGGGCCCAATGTTCGACACATTGTTACAGATTATCCACGGACTAATTGAGAAGTCATTGCGTTTCGTGTCCCCGAGCAACGGATACCGTTCGTGAATTTTCAAAAGACCAACAATTACAATTGCACCTGGTCGTAAATTTTGAAATTTGAAATACAAAAAGAAACTGAATGAATTATCGATATCGACGACAACTCCTCGGTCACGCGTACATCACACGAATGTGCGCGCGCGCGAATTTAATCGCCGACACGCAGCGTGTAAAATCGCTCGGTGTAATCGAGGCTTAATCGAGGCGGTACCCCGAACGCCACCCCACCCGGTCGTCGGCCGGATCCGCAGTTCTCCGGACGTACCGCCGCGGCGCGTTATTCGGCGCGGTTGGAAAATTCAAATCCAAACTGCAACTCGTTCCCGCGTAATGCTGTACATTTTCACGCGTTTCGTACCAATAAAAACGTCTTTATCTCGTTTTTACGATATTCGATTACGGATTGGATCGGTCGATAACAACGGCAATAATAACCGCACGACGTTTCGCGCCGCGAGAGATGCGTTTTTACTATTCGTTTGAAACCCAGCGCAGATTACTTTTCACCGCACGCCAAATGGCCGACACCGACGAAATGAACCGAACCGTCGAACGATAGGGCCCCCACCAATACCGGATGCTCGTAGAACTTTCAGTAAAACTTTGTGGTTAACAGTGTCGAAAGCTCCGGCTGGATCAGCATAAAACATTTATAGGGAAATCTGAAATCTCCGAATCCAAAACTATGTGTACGATTTGAGCACCTGACTAAACCGCGTACATTATTCGACAATTTTCGATTTGGTTACTGACTCCCTGGCTGCCGCACTCGAATTACCTAACGCAGCCCGCGCATAAATGTGTGTCAAAGTTCGAAAATCTGTCGGTATATTTTTTCTACCAGCTGTCCCGCCCGGCGTTTGCCCGTGCTAATTAAATGTGTAATGAAAACGATTTCCCCTTGGATTTATTTTGTCGATCTCCGTCGCTGACCGTTGTGGCCCTTGAATGTTTAAAAATGCGTTTGCTCTATTTTTCATTTTCAAACTTGCATAAATCAACTATACCGTTGCTAAGCAATGAAAAATATCCGACACATTTCGTTGGTTTCACAACGGCGTTTATTTTTTTTTCTATTATTTATTCGAAATAACGATATTAACAATAATCAATAGTCTATTTTTGAGGGGAAAATTCACGATTAAATTTCTAGTCGGCACGAGTCGCTCGTGTTGTATCCGACGCCGACGGGAAACCGCGAGTGACTCGGCGAGTAAAAACAATCGTCGTGCTGTACGATTAAATACCTCACACGCGACTCGCGAAGTAGCGCGATTGACGAATGTTCGCCGATTACACCAGTCGTGTGGGACCGGCTTTATACACAATTTGAAATGCCGTAATTTTTGCGATTTTCATTTAAACTTGATTTCAAAACGCTTATTGAAAAAAAAAAAAGCCGTTCGATGGTTTTGGAAATTTTACCACGTCTAGGTAAGTTCAATACAAGGATTATTACCAAGTTTCGCGTGTATTTATAACCGAATTACAGTAAAAAAAAACTACCAAAAATTAAAATTGCTTAAAAGCTCAAAAGGCACCGTATGAAAATGAATCAAAAAGGCAACAAGAAAAGGTGTCTCGTGATTTTTCGATTAAATCATTTTTCCTGGTAGAAAACGTCGCGTTCGTGATTTTATAAAATAATTAAATCGCGAAATTGTACGTTTCCTTACGGTTTTTCCCACGTTAGTGCTTTTATTTAAAAAATGGTGTCAAAAAAATGACACTCTCAAATACAATCTAGACAACGTGAGGTATCAGAAAACGCTTTGCTGCGCACAAAAATCGGAGCAAGTTTACTAGGAAAAACCGTGTCCACAGACTAGAACAACGAAAAAGAAGGAAAAATAAACAGCATTGTAAAACCAATAGCTCGGAATCCAGAATTGGCACCGGCAGCGCAGGGCAGGAGAACCTAAATTATATGCCAAATGCAAAGTTGTTCATATTTTTTTTTATCTATTATACTCCTTTTCCAACATTGCTTTCCGTTGATCGTAGTGCCTTTTCCTCTCGTGCTTCGGATGTAGACCGACCGATCGATTTCCGTTTGGGTGGCCATTACAGTTAGGTACGGGGCGTACCTAACTGTCGACGATACCGAGCTCGATAAATAAAAAAAAATTCGTGTATGTTTTGTGATATCGAATGTTTTACGTATGTCTCTATCACCCATGAACGGAAGTGTACTTACGCAATACCTACAGGTTTCTTCGTCGGCTATAAAAATCAAACATTTTCTGTACAACAATCACGACGAAAAAAAATACGTAGGTTACATCGTGTTGATTTTTCTAAATTCGGTTAAAACACTGAACGAGGCGTGTATCACAACAATGCTCATGTACACCATATTATGCAAATCAAGTTAGTTTAGTTTCCAATGTATATTTATCACGATTGGGTATTATTCTGAGTCGAATTCCAACAATATGTTAATTATTAGGTAATATCTATTTTTAGATTCTGAGTTTATCGTTGAATGTATTGGTTTTACCATTGATTTTATAATATACTATAGTATATGGTTTTACTAAGATGTTTATTTTATTATTATTATTTTTTTTTTTTCGTAGCAATGTACCTATAATATAGGTTTTAGTTTATTACTATAATATGCTTTTAGATTCCGAGCATAGTTAGGGAACTATTGGTTTTACAATGCAGTTTATTTTTCCTTTTTCTAGTTTGTGGACACGTTTTTTCCTAGTAAACTTTCTATGATTTTTGTGTGTAGCAACTTTTCTGAAAGCGTCATTTTTTAAATAAAAGCAATTAAGTGGGAAAAACCGTAGAAAAACTTACTATTTCACGGTTTCGTTATTTTATAAAAACACGGTGGTTTTCTACCAAAAAAAACATTAAATTGAAAAATCACAAGACATCTTTTTTATTTACTTTCTTATGGTATCTTTGTCGGTAATAAATTCACGTTAAACTAGGTAATAATACTTACATTGGACTTACTTAGACGTGACAAAATTTCCAAAATGATCGGACTACTTTTTTTTCCCCTTTTACCTAAACAGGGAAGAAACAAATTCATTTTAGGTATACCTAGAGACCAATTTATCACTCGCTCGGCCTAATTTATATTTACCTACTTTATATATGTGTTTACAATTTTTGAATTTTTAAGATAAAAACTAGAAAAATTTGTACTGTTTCGGACCATAGAAATATATGTAGTTCTATAATAATGTAGGCATAAGGTTTATATGAAGTATAATGTATATAATAATAATAATAATAGTAGTTAGGGTATAGGTCTACATAATATATTTTCAGAGCTTTTCGTTTTTTTTTTTTTTTTAATAACATAAGATAATAAGTTTTACAAGTTTTAAACTATGTAACATAATAGAGGCTATGTATATTTTTTATACTGTATAATTTAAATAAATTATTTTAAGTTGTTATATTATAATACAATTATTACCAATTTCAATATGTTATTCCATTGGAGATAATGGCATATAGTCGGACAGAGTCTCAGAATTATATCAACATAATGAAGTAATTTTATGAAGATAAAATCGAGATAATACTAAAAGAATTACTATTGCATTAAATAAATTAATATATTAAAAAGTGTAAACAAAAATATGATTAAAAATATAAATAAAAATATGATTAAAAATATAAATAAAAAATATCAGCTTATGTAGCCTTAGGTTGAAAGAATTGGAATAATTTTGTGTATATTGTCAAAACTATTTCCCAATAATAAAAAAACAAGCTCTCAGTTTCTAAAGTTATAAGACCTAATAGTATTAGGTCTTATACCTAATAATTCATATTTGTTTGAGTAACTGCAAATTGTTTTGTAGTTATAAATTAATACAATTTGTTATTTTAACATCAAATGTTGGAAAAGGTTATAAAAGATTTTGGATTCTGAGTGGCGTGATGAATATAATGAATTAACAATGTGTTTTTTGAAGTATAATTCTGGAGATTAGGTCAAAAAGGGCCAATGTCACTTTTTGATGAAAATGTATAGTATGGCCAATTATATACATTTTTATATGCTTTTTTTTAAGTGGTAAAAGGACGTACCTCAATAATCATTATTGTGAGATTTGAGAAGACCAATGTTGCGAGAATCAACATAAATTCTCTAGCTTACACTATGATGAGGTACCCTAATGTTGACAGCAGGAAACAAAATTTCTGATTCTCAAATCAATGGTACTAGGTATAGATTTTAAAAATACACATAATGTAATTCTTGTACAACATACAAATATTTATATTCAAATAATATTATAATAATACAAAATGTATTTAAATACTAAAGCGACACTTTCTTAAAAATCTTAACAATGCAAGATATTAATTTATGTATTTAAAACTATTTTAAAAATACCTTTTTAAGGTAACACAGAAATAAACCACACTCATTTTACATCATAAAAATTTTTTATTGAATTAAATTGTTTAAAACTTGTCAAGGGAAAAAAAAATTATAATAATTTTAATTCAAACAATTTAAGGTTTCCATAATCTTACCATACCATCTTCACAGTATGTACACAATAAATTTTGATGAGGATGATGCGTTAATCCAATAACATCTTTATCATGTACCTGTAAGGTTTTCTCTAATTTACCAGTGTTTAACGAAAAACAGTATAATATATAATCTTCAGCAACTGCATAAATCCAATCGCCTCTAGGTGACACGGTGGAACATACAAAATTGCAACCTTCGCGTTTACCACTCGTAAATGATCTAACAATCTTTAGAAAATATTTATATCAATAGTCAATATATTCTAATACATTTTGAAGATAGTAAACTCACTTGGCCTTGCATATTCATTATTACAATAGTGTTTGAACGATTACAAACAACAAAATGGTCTTGGTTTTTAGGAAAAAGATGTACATTGTTAACAGCTACATCCGCTGCTCCCATGGATTTGAATGTGTGAGTACATTCTGTAGTTTTTACACTCCATACTTTTACAGTACTATCACTAGATGCACTGCATATAAAAATTAAATAATTTCAAAAATATTAAATTGTTAAATAAAGTAATTATAATATTTACCTAATTATACTGTGGCCATCAACAGTATATACAACTTCATTGACAAACGATGTATGTCCTCGAAATTCTTTAAGAGTTTTACCAGATTTTAAGCCATGAATTCTTTTTTTGAATACATGAAAATGTTTAATCAACAAATGATAAATATTTTGTATACACAATAAAAGATATAATATATATAAAATATAAAAAGCCACAAGTATATTCTATAGTATATATTATATCGTTAAAACTATTTTGTGTACAAATAGTTTTATATGCTAGCATTAATAATTTTAAAGAGGATAGAATGTATTAGAAATAAATAAATAAAAATTAGTTCAGAGATTATGGATATAAAAGAAGTAAAATAATAGGGCGAGTAAGAGTTGAAAAATTAATATATTTATGTAGTTATTCAAAATAATGAATTTTATGTAATAAAATATAGCTGAATTTACTGTGATGAAAATATTACATTTAGAATGAAGATAAACAACATAGAACATGATAAGTAACATTTTACACATAATTGTTGGAAGTTGATATATATATATATACATTTTAATGTTGAGCAATGAATAAAAAGTATGAAAAAAAATTAAAGTGATGAACATGAGAATGTAATGATGAAATACAAATGTGTTGTTATCAGTATAGTAGACTTATAGAAAACTATCAATATTGAAACTTGGAGAAAAAGAATTTGAATAGCCAGCCCAATTGAATGGAATTAGGTATACACATTTAAATAATTATTTATTATATATTTTTAATTATAGGTACCTAATAGTCATATCAAATGAACCAGTTAAAATTTGCGTATTATCTCGAGAAAATTGTACACAAGTAACACCAAGTACATGAGCTTTTTCAAATTTTCTCATTACTTGTCCAGTCATTATTTTCCAAACAGTCACTTTTCCACCTTGAGAGCCGGAAACTAACATTTCACTATCACGAGAAAAATTTAAACTAAGTACAGCATCTTCCATTAACATAAAATTATCCTGAGAATTGAAAATAATTATAAGCACATAAATGGAATATTTTATTTGATTATTTTAAGTAAATTAATATACTTGGGCTTGATATTTAAGATCTTTTCTTATTTTTCCAGTGACAAAATTGTATACTTCAATAAATCCATCAACAGTGGCAGTAACCAAAAACTGGCCATCTGGTGAAAATTTAGAACATTCAACATGACTCTTTTGGATAAATTTAATCTGTTTGAATAACTGTGTGGGAAAAGTTTCTTCTTCTAAATCCCGAACTGCTGCTTTTCCTCTAAATAAATCGATTGAAGTACCTAAAAACATAAATTATTACTATTTTAGAATTTAAAAGGGACAACATGATTTACCTAACAATAATTTTTAAAATACCTGGAGGTAAAAGTCCTTGATGCTGTTGCCATTTCAATGCTTGACCTAGAAGTGCTAGAAGTCTTGATGATGGTACTACAGATACTTCACCAGCTAATGATTGAGCAATAGCAATTCTACGTTTTTCTTTAGAGGTGCCTTCTGGATATGCTTCACGAGGGTCAAAATAAGAACGAGCAAGTAGGTTTTCTATAACCAACAAATTTTTTTAAAACAAATAATGTACCTATATTTATTATTTATTTTAATATAATTGTACCAAGGTGTATGTAACGATCTGGTTCATGTTGTTTTAAAGCAATCATAGGGTCAGTTTGACGTAAAAGTGACCGAGCAGCTCCAAGTTCACGCAATTCTATTAGTTCAAATACAACCTACAAAATAATTGAAATTAACAAATTTAATCATACCTTATAATCTTATAAATATTTAGTAACTAACTTGTTCATATAAATCAATTAATTTACTATCTGGTAATTTCAGAGACTGTACAGCCTTTAATACTGTATCCCAATGACCGTTATGTATATCCGCAACAAAACCATCAATACTGTCTACTGTATTTAATGATACACTAGTTTCTTCCTGAAAATATTATAATTTACTGATTTGAAATTGATCTTTTACTCAAACAAATAAGTTATTGTACAACCATGTACCTAAACACAATGCTAAAATTTTATAAAATAATACAACATTACTTGAAGGGTTTGTAGAGATTTCATTAGATTTGATTCCTTTAGGTATTGCTGTATCAGACGAATCACACTAAAATCATAGAAAACTGATATTAATATATTGTTCTATATTGATTTAAAACAATAATGTTTAAGGAAAAAATTTTTATTGTGAATAATATGTAACAATTATAACGATACTAACTCTGCTGATTCAATTTCAATCGACATTTTGGTTGATTTCTGGATTCCGGCCTCTGGGTCAGAAGAAAAATAAACTCAAGTCCATATCACATTGAAATGGTAAACAAAACAAGGTATGTATATCACTGAAATTTGCCGCGGTGTTAAGCGCGCAGTGTGACCAATATACGCACCAAATATTTCAATAAGCTATACTGTGGAAATGTTTGGTTCGTATATTGGTCACGCTGTGCGCTATACAGCACGATATTTTACGGTGATAAATACACCTTGGTTTGTACACCATTTCAATGTGATATGAACTATGTCGTTTTTTCGTTTATTTTTCTAAGTCATTTCTCAGGAGTTTTCTCATCAAATTTAAAAAACCGAAAAAAAAATTAGGAAAAACGGGAAAATGTAGGTATTAGTTAAAATATATTACGGTCTTCTTTTTTCCCGTGAACAACTTTTCTACCAGCAATTTTAATACGATTTACAATGATAGCACTTTTTTCTGAAAGGAAATTTGAATGCGAAGGTACTTTAAGGAAGTCTTTTTTCGATTTTCCCAAGAGTTTTTCTAGGAATTGTGAAAACCGGGGAGCGTAGGAAAATCGGTACAACATTAAACAACTATTATTAAAGAAAATTGATAAATTTTAATTAATTATTTTTTACTACAAAATAACATATATATAGTTGACGAAGTATCATTATCACCTGAACTCCGCTCAAAATCGTATTTTCGTAAGCAATGGTTTATCGTTGCTTACAGGTATACATTAAATTAACTATAACAGTTGCTGCACCGTTCCCAATTATCCTAGGACGTCTTTTTTATTAATATTTTTGAAAATTCGATGACTTGACTATATGGATTTAGTAAAATAATTGTTGTCATTTTCAATATGATCGAATTTTTTATAACGATTGAAAGGAACCGATAACATCACCCGCAATTCGACTGTTTTAAAAACACCAAATTATGTTGACCGTATAAAACGAGAACTCGCACTGTGTAACGTTCGTTTTATTTTTTCGATGATACAAACACAACGAGATAAACTCGTTAATCCGGAGTTAAAATAAATTCTGTTGCATAAATCGTGTTTTAAATTTAATCTGTTGATAAAAATGTACTTTATCAAGAGTTAAATTACAGGTTCATTTATCACCATGTAAGAATGTTTGACAGATAAATTTCGTTATCAATATTATGCGTAACTTCTACTGCCGGTACAGTGGAACTATTTATTCGTTAACCGGTATTCTGGTAATAACCTGAATATAAAAGACATGTTAAAACTTTAATTTATCAACCATTTATCATTATGTACTAAATGTATCATTAAATGAATTTATCATAAATAAAAACCATTGTAGTGAATTAATATATCAAAACATTTATAGAGTGACTTGTACCAGATATCTAGGATTAACAATTGATGCATTCATGAGATATGCACGTGAATAATATTGTTTCGAGACTTCGAACTATGTCCAATAGCCTATATAAATCAAGAACTTTTTTACAGGTTCATACTTTATAAAATTATAACTTATAAGTATAACTAATTTTGTATTATACCAAGCGATACTAATGGTCTGTTGGTTTGAGGCGATACAGCCAAAAACGCATTTCGGCCACTCATAATACAGCAGAGGCAAATAATCGGAATTTGTCTTAATAAGCATAATTTAGAAGGATCAACTATTGATAACTAAAAATTATTATGAGATTTACCGATAGAGAAATTGTGTACAAAAATCAGTATTTTATTTATAATCAAAAATTATAATTTATGGGTCGATGTAGAAAGCATATTTGATAATAGGGAAAATAAAGCATATAATGCAAAAGTTGTCTATTTTAATAAATCAAAAAGGCAACAAAAAGGTGTTTTGTGATTTTTCTATTAAATCATTTTTTCTGGTAGAAAACGTCGTTTGTCTTTTTATAAAATAATAATCGCGATTGATTGCGATTTTTCCCACTTAAATGCTTTTATTTAAAAAATGGTGTCAAAAATCGAAAAAATGACCTCTTTTAAGTACAATCTAGACAACTTGAGGTTTCAAAAAAGCTCTGCTACACGTAAAAATCGGAGCAAGTTTACTAGGAAAAACGTGTCTAGAAAAAAAAAAAAACAAACAAATAGCTCCCTCGCTACGCTTGGAATCTAAAAGTGTAGGATCTCGTCAACGGGTCAACGTAAATTAAAATTTTCAACGCCAAAATTGATATTATTGTTATTGTTTATTTTTTCGAAAAGATAATAGGCCCCACTGAACAGGTTCGTATGGGGCCCATGAGTTCACAATTTATAATAAGAAAAATGTTATGTTTAAATAATAATTTAAATTTAACTTTTTTTTTTTTACAATTTTGGACTTATAAAACTAACTTAAACATATACAATGTAGGTAACAATAATGATTATATGGAGACTTAATGTATAATACAGTTTAATAAAATACAAATACAAGCAACTAGATTAAAGATATACAAACATTTGAAGTTTTAAATTTGGTTCATTTTGCAGCCAGTTATCTATTAGTTGTATATTTTTTTTAAAGTATTATATATAGACTAAAACTTTGGTGTTTAACCCATAGTTCATGGATTTTCCTCTCGATGAATCACAAATTGTCAATGCGATGCATGGGAAATAATGTATAATATTAATCAGAAAATATTATATTATGAGATATATACGAGATTTGAGAAACGCTGCAATTTTCAATAATTGTGGCGATGTAGGAAATTAAGATAATCAATCGGCGTAATGTATTATTCCGAAATGCATAAATAATTAGTTCAGTTAAAATAATAATAAATTACCTATTTTATTAATTAATGTTACTATTTGGGGTACTATTAAATTTGTGGTCATTCACCCTCGTCCTAAACTTCCACTTGATCCGATTCCTTCATATCGCCCTCGCATACACCTTCCATCGTCATACCATTCTCAACCAGGCGCGTAACTAAAGAGGGGGGCTGGGGTGGCCCGGCAATCCAAAATATTTACAAGCCACTCCATTATATTATTAAAATACTCTAGGCTCAAATAATTGAATAAAAAAATTAAACAAAATAGCATCATTGTTCAACCAAGAATCTAAAATTGTATTATAAACAATATAAACATACTTATATATTAAATTAGTGCCTAGTGGTGGGAGGAGAAGTAAATGTTGACTATAATTAGGCCACCCTAATTGTGTAATCTTAGTTACGTGCAAATTATCAACTGCGTCCAACCATTTTTTTTTCGGTTTTCCTCTTTCCCTCTTTTCTCTTGTGATTTTCCCTTATTTTATCAACTATCGAAGCCACTGTTATGCTATATGTTATGTACTAATAAATAATAATTAAGTTGATTAAAACAAATAAATAAAATTTATGTTGTTTTAGTAGTATCACTTCTTTTTAATAGGCGCATATAAGCTCTAATAAGCCGCTAAATATTATTATTTGATTTATGTTTAAATAAAAAGTTATCATTCATACATAAACGTTGACACTATAATTTGCGTAATAAATCATATCTAATAAAATAAAATATTCCTTTATATAAATATATATGAATACTTACCTAGGTATTTGTTTTAAATGATTTATTTTACTCATTTGATTGAATGTTTATAATTCAATAAACTGTTAAATATGAACATTGTTCTTGTGCGCAAATTATTAACATATTAATATAATTATTCTATTATAGTTTGTATATATAAATGTATAATAATGTTAATATTTTATATAGGTTTATGGTTTTATGTATTTATACTTGTTTAATTTTTATGAAAATTTAATAATTTTTAATTATACTTTTCCTAGACAGTTAGACGTTTCCTAGACACCAAATACCATTTGGTTTTACTCACTTTCTTTTGTTTTTAACAAATTAAGATTTAAATAATGTTGGTAATAAATTAATAACAATAGGTAATCCAACAATTCAGCATAAAATGTTTAAGTATAGAGATTTTGTATTAATTTAATGTAGTTTTCCATTTCCGTATATTTTCTTAGAAAATTTCAGGGCTGTTTGATATAGAACCTTATAGGTACTATATATACAAAATATTTATTAGATTTATTTATAAAGTATTTAATAATATAGGTAATTGAAATAATTACTCTTATATAGTTCATAAAATTGAACAGGTATAACAACGACTTGCTTAAAATGTTTATGAGAAAACAATTCAGCAATAGTATAAATAGGTTTACAAGTATTATGCATAGGTTTGTATCTAAATTGACAAAATCGTCTCATTAATAAACATGCTGCAAGCACTAATATTTCGTTTGTATCATCAAACCTATTGCGCCATCAAAAATCATAATTTAGTTACCGTTGTCTTAACACGTTCTTGTCGTTCAAAATGTTCCGTATCAATTTCAGTCTTGCGCATACATTCTAAGGACGATGATAAAATCATTGGTTGGTGTTTACAAATAGGCGGCCATCCTGGAGACGATTCTAATTCGGCTTTTACTGATTGATAAATTAGTTCATTGTTAGATTCATAAGAGTCGAATTTTAATTTTTTCGTTAACAAATAATCAACGACAAAATATTCAATGCCCAGACATAAAACGCAATTGGCTAAAGCCAACGCGACCACAATCATTGGGAATTCTATCGTCGGAGGAAATTTCAACTGAAGTAATTCTTTTAGCCAATGTGTGGGAAATAATGTTATGTATAAACAAACAACCGTCATAATTATTAAACTACAAAAAAAAACCATATTCTTATTAATTGGTTCCCGATATGGTTTACCGTAAGAAAATATTAAAGCTAATATAATGTACTGAAATTGAGAAACAGAATAAACTGCATAATTTTCATAAGATGAGTACTCTTTTGGATGCGTGTAATCAAATGGTTTAAACCAAGGAAATTGTTTTACCAAGTAAACAGATAAAATTTGTGTTAATGTTAGAACAGCTAAGTTTGTGATCATCGAAAACAGAGGAATGAACGATAGTAATCTGGTTAATGGAGGTTTTTTAAATAATGACCCCTGGAAAGCTTCGTTTCTACCGAAAAAAAACATAAAGTTCACTACTAAACCAATGTCGATAAAGAGAAACTCAAAGTCTGTCAAGTTGCTATCAATACTATACAAAATAAATGTTGAAGTGAACTCCAACAAACTATAGAGGACCATAAATTTAAAAATTCCAAATGAAGTTACAAGAGCTGCTCGGCCTTCGCGAATAATACGAGGCATACAGGAAATATTTGCTACGTGTGATGTAAATGGTGAAGCAACAGATGATTCTGCTTCTGATAATGAAACTCCAACATGAGCCGCTCGTAATGCTCCGCAATCATTTGCACCGTCACCACACATGGCTGAAAATGAAATAATTTATTTGTTGGTAAAATGTAAAATTAACTGCGTAAAATTATTAACAAAAAACTTATATCTCACCGACATGATAACCAATATGTTGTAGTTCTTGAATTAATTGTTGTTTTTGTTCAGAAGTCATTCTAGCGAATATAGCTCCCTTAACGAGCATCCTAGGTAAAAGAATTGGAAATTTATCTCTTATGATCTCCCAAGTACGGCCGGTCATCGCAAATCTATATTCTCCGCTAACTCGAGCTTCTAAATCGTTTTTATTTGAATCATAGTTTTCCACCATCATTCTCTGTTTGATAAATAATGTATACAGGATAATGTTTAAAAGTTTTAATTTTATATAAAAATACCATCGGCAACGTAATGCCACTAGCAGTGTAGAATATTTTTGGATTGCAATCCTGACTTTCATCAGTTAATACATCGACTACTGTTGTAGACGGCAAAACTATTCCGCATTCTTTAGCTACACTGACGGCCGTTAAAATATTATCACCTGTAATTATTATTTTTTATGCATTATCAAACGTGTATATTTTTGAATTGTAACTTTTTTTTTTTTACCTGTTACCATAATGATTTTCATATCCGCTCCTTGGAGTTCTTTAATAACAGGAGTAGTTTGATCTTTTAGACGATTTTCCAAGATGACTAGGCCGGCAAAGGTTAAATCACATTCAACCTCTTCTCGTCTTAATTTCGGAATTTGAACAAAATTACAATCTTGAAGTACTTTATGAGCAAGGGCAATCACTCTGTACCCTTCTTCCGTGTAACCTCGTAATATTGTGTTAGTCATGTTTGGAACTGTGTTTTAGCATAATAAAATATTTGATAATTTTTTAATTATATAATATAGATAAAATTATTCTCCCCGAAAAATTATTGTACTTTATTCTTACCGGTATTCGGAATACATAATGACTGAATCATTTCCGGGGATCCTTTTGTGTAAACGATAAAACGTGGGTCACCGATGGTTTTTGTAATCATACTCATTCGTTGTAACGACGAAGAAAAATGAAATTGATGTATAAGACCGATTTCCATAGCTTTTTCATTTTCTGTAGTTGACGGATTTCGTACGATCGAGGGTACTAAAACGTCAAACTTTGAAGTGTCAGAAACTTCTAATTCTTCGAGATCCCAACCCGTAGACTCAAACATCTGAATAATATGTATTTAATATTAATGTCGAATACATTAAACATACAATTTAGAATATGTTTTATGGTCTAGCCAGGTAAGTATACCTACTTTTATGTCAAGCGGGTCCCCAGAAATGGTAGAATTTAACAAAGTTAATGAATGACAAGTTACCATACCCAATTTTAACGAATGATTATTTGACAACGTTGTGACATCTCTGACGGGCTCTCCAAGTTCTTCATTGTTTTCGACTGGCACCACGCCCCACATGTCTAAACCGTCTTCTGTTAAAGTCCCGGTCTGTACATAAACGGCACATACATAAATATTTAAAATGTTTCGTACTAAATACAAATGTAAGGTTTACGCTCAAGAGGAACATTACTTTATCAAAACATATGCAGTCTATTGACCCACAGACATTTATAACTCTTGTATTCATACACGAAAGTTGATGTTTTTGAAGTCTTCTCAATGCATACAGTTTGCCTACCGTCATAGCAGCCGGTAATGCAGGAGGAATCGATATTGTAAATAGATCTAAAGACTTGACTAGAATGTCAAATACCGTTAATCCTCTAGATGCCTGTGTATTAAAATATTTTAATATAACCATATTTATTTAAACGTGGTCTACTTACTTTTGCTATTGCAGTATAAATAGAACCACAAATCGCAACACTAGCCAAAATCCAAATAAAACGATATGTATCTTTATCAAATCTGAAATCGGCTGGCGGAGGATATAGTATTGATCTCACTAATGATCCTTTAGCTGTTAAATAACCCGTTCTTAATACTACTCCGTGTACTTTTCTATCAGAAAAATATCGCGCTTGAAGAATTTTTGTTCCAGAAAACAATGTATGATTAGCATCTTCACGTTCGTTGTATAAAAGATTTATGCTTGGTAACGCAGTTTTTATGACTGGTACACTTTCACCTAAAAAAAAAAAAAAAAATTAATTTTACTAATTAATTTATCGAAAAATCGTATAATAAATTATTAAATCATTTAAAATTATACCTGTAAGCATGCTTTCGTTAACGATACAAGTACCACATAGTAAAGCTATATCGCATGGCACTTCAAATCCAGTTTTCGGTATAACTATAATATCACCCGGTACCAACTCGGTTGTGGAAATGTCTTCATAAATGGCTTCAGAATTAGGTCCACCCATATTTCGACACACAGTTACTTTATCTAAAGTGTTTACCGTCTCTAATAAAGTCTTTTGATTCTAAAATGAAAAACGTGCATCTAGTCAATAATAATTATTACGAAGTAACTGGTGAAAAAATCTACGAGAATATATAGTGATAATTTCAAACATAGATTTTCTTCAAGAACATGAATACACAATAGAAAATGCTTTATATTTAACCGTACATTGACGGAATCGAATGGAGAAACTTCATAACAACGCTCTACCACCCTTCCTACTCGCCAGAAATAGCCCCCACTGACTTAATTTTATTTCCAAAATTTAAAAGAGGAGGCGGCACTGAGACAATGTGGACACCATCAAACACAAAATAACGAGGTAATTGAGAATCATAACTTCTCAGAAATTCGAGGGATATTTTTAGTAATGGGAACGAAAATGGGATAATTGCATTCTAATTAACGGGGAATATTTTGAAGAGGAAAACGTTCATTTTTTATGATTCATTTGAAATAAAAAATTTATTGTATAAGATCGCGTACTTTTTGGATACACTACGTGTATGTAATTAAATGTCTTGGTTGAGAAGTTAGAATCTAAATTTGCTCATAAATGTTTATATATTCACTGGTCCTTGAATACAACACTTAAATTTATAAATTATGGTATTATTAAAACTATTGTTCAAAAATTTATTAGGTACCTCACGAGTTTGTAAAACCGAGGATGTTATTCCAAAAACTGACATAACCACGATTGCTATCAAATAATACACATAGCCTTCTGCAAACCATACTATCAGAGAAAAAACTTGGAAAATGTATAAAGGATTAAGAACTTCGAGGCATATCAGAGTGAGTATACTCTGAGTGGGTACATCGATTTTGTTTTGTCCGTAGATAACTTTTCTGTAATTGAATACATTTTTGATTTAAGACAAAATATAATTTAAAAATTTTTTTTTTTTGTTTGTTTGTGTAAGAATTAAGAAAGTGCATACCTAATGAATTGTTCTTGCGTAGAATAACCTTTAAACGTATGTAGCTGCGCCGTCGTTAAACCTCGATCTAAACCAACAAGTTTTTGAAATTTTCCTTGATTATCGCACCAAACGTAACAGATCTTTTTTATTTCTATTGTTCTAATTTCACTAACATCTATTATACAATTAATGATACATCGTATTAATATACGTCTATATAAATTTATATATATATATATATATTTTTTTTTAAAACCTTGACACGATCCATCGTTTAAGTGTATCCTTATTGATTTTATTTCCGACGACTTTCGGATATCTTCAATTTGAACAGAATCCAAATTGTCGATTTTACTGTTTTGCAATACTTTATCATTGCTAAATAATACACATATATAAAAAAAAATTGTATTGTTAACAGATTATAGCGCGAGTATATTTCGTTATAAAAGTTAAATGAACACCCATATGAAGAAAAAATGTACTACATTATTTTTCAATGAAATAATTTATAAAATTCTTTACGTAAAATATTTCTCTTATCACATATATATCATATATATCACTTATATCATATATATATATAACATTGTACCAGTGATAAATTTGTTTTTATATTAAAAAAAAAAAAAACAATTAAAAACTCACTTGATTATCTTGATGGAAACATTTTTTATTGGTCTTACAAAATATGATTTATACATTCCTTCATACTTGTCCTACAAAAAAAACATATAAAATAGGTTTTATTGTATATTTATGTTTACTAATATTATTTTTGGTAACTTACCACTATAAGCACACGTTCTGCTTCATTGAGTGGACATCTCTTGAACATGGCATACACGACCCAATGGGGCCACCAATGAAACAATAACCGAACGAATCCCAAAGTAAAAACATATAGAATCCATATAAATACTGTCATTGGTCCACTCCTCTTGTATCCATAAATCTCCTGGAATTCGGAAATATTTTAAATGGAATTATTATTTGGTATAAAATCAATATAAGACTCTTATATTAACATTTCGTTATGTACAATATTTAATATTCTTTATTGAACATCCATCAAAACAATATGTATCCTTGTTTATAAATTAACGATAATATAAATCAATTCAATGATTTTTAAATACCGAAATATAATATTCTTTTATTATTTGTATGTATGTGACGGATAAAAAAACGTAAAATATCAAGTACATATTACGGTGCATATTTTACGTAATATATTATAAATACACATGTTTTAAAATAACAATTAATTTTTACTTAAATAGGTTAGACGTACAATTTTAGCGAATATTTATATAATATAATCTTGAATTTTCACTAACCATTTCGTCGTCTTCATCAGCATTGAGTAAAGCATTGTCCTTGATTATCGGTTCTTTTTTCTTTGGATTATTATTATTATTATTGGTATTGAAGCCGTTATGTTTAAAAACTGCCCCTGTACCTCCTGTACAAAACGAAATTATAATATTATTGTAATGTTTTGTTTTTTATTTCCGTGTCAATAATTTACCTGTAGGGCAGTTTTCATTTGATGCCATAGTCAGGAAATTTTAAAATTCCTAACGATCGTAATAATCTGCGATTGTTAATCGTCGAACGTACAGGCATTCACGAGCCGTTCAAAAACCGCCTGAATTTGGCCTACTTGTGAGACCGCTATACAATTTAAACATTAATTCAAGTAAGATTTTAAAAAATTAAAATTTTTTAGTTGAGTTTTGCTGTTCTTTTATAATATCGGTTGCATTTAATCCCTTTTATAATGCGTCATGACACTATACAAAATATTATAATGTCAATCGTTTAAAATAAATACACATATCGCTCAGAATTAACAGAAAAACATTATATTATACTACTAAATTAGGTATACTCTATGCATCCATATCAAATAATATTATGAGTAATTCTGCGAAATTTGAGAAAAAAATTCTTGTAACAAAAAGGCTTGTTTTCGTCCTACCGGTAGCAAATTATTGAATTTAAAAGAAAAATAATAGTAATACAATTATTTGTTGCGCGCTAGCTTTTATTCCAATTCAATAAATCGTAATAATATTTTGTGTTTTATTTGTTTTTACGAAGATAAAAACTACGATTTTATTATAGAAAGGTATTCAACAAATTCAACAAATCCTTCTCCTTGCTAAAATTGCCAACAACTCTAAATTCAATGCAATCATTAGTTTACTACGGAAATATTACTTGGATACATAATTAAAATTTTTAAAGTTATGCCATACTCGACGAAATTGAAAAACATATATAAAAGTCACTGTGTATTCTCAAAAACAGGATTGCAAAACGAATCTATCTATTTTGTTAAAAACATGTTTTTACGTTATACGTTAAACATTATTTTATGTAAGTACCATAATATAATAGGAACTGTTTATTTTCACTTATACTTTCAAAATTAATAGGAATGACAATAACTATAAAATATTGTCATTCTTCAGAAGATATTTAAATGGTCGAACGTTTAAAATCTTTTAAAAATGTATGACAATTTAAAACACATTGCAACCTGCAGTTAAAAACGAATTTCAAAATACATAATAATTGTATTTTATAAAAATATAAAAATAAAACAAAAAGTACGGATTTATAATTCGGTTAAATTCCAATAATTTATAGTAGGTATACGTATAGTTACCTATAACGAATCATTTTTCTTTTTCTTTCTACCATGCGTTTAATAATATTTAATATTATGTTTGCATATAGATTTTAATTACGTGTCTTAAACGGGACAAAACAAAATTCACTTGTCACTTTTCACTCTTCAATAAATATCACTATATTACTAGATACTTGTATGTAATACTATATACACTTTTCTAGTATTAATGAACGGCTTCCAACAATTTTATTCAAACTGTCACAATAAATTTTTAGCCCGATATACTAACCATTATATATATAATGGGAAATCATAATCATTCATTTAAGGTCCGTTTGAAGATTTTTACTATCGAAACAAGTGTATAGTATCAACTCATAAGTATAACATTGCCATGTACCTATGCAGTATTATTATCTTTCACTTGATTAAACGTTTTAAATTGTCTTCACGTGTTACATTTTTTTTTTTTTTACACCGTCACATGCATATTATATATTATACACGTATAGATATTTGTTTAAGAAAATCTCCGGCAAATCAAATTATTTCAACGCAAATGAAACGGATGAAAAAAAATATATAAGTATATAACATATATCTACACGTTGTAGTGAACGCGTGAATATAAACATTAAAAGTAATAAAAAATAAAAAAAACAAATGATGTATGATACACGTTATATTTTTATTATTCATATATTATAAAAACTGAAATGTTACTTATATTGAAGTAGTAATAATATTTGCTCGCGTCGAAAAATATTTTTAAAAAATAATAATATAGGTACCTATCTTATATATTGTTATCCGTATAATAACTTTATATTTAGTTGGGTATTGCTTTCATTACTCTATCATACAGTAGGTGCCTATATTATTACTACACTGTTTGTTTTGCACAAGTTTATTTGCATAATTTGTTCAAACAAATATAAATATAGATAAGGAAAAAAAAGTCAATACTGATGATGGTTACGCCACCGTTTTAAGTGAAGAGTGTAGAAGGTTTTTGGAAATTTTCAATTATTTAATTATATTATTTGTAAACAACGAAATTTGATTCTAACAAAAAATTAAATAACTTTACGTATCCTACCTTCCCAATTTCTTACCAACAACAATGGCACACCCGTCCCCAGTATACACACTTTTTTATTTTTACCACTAAATGCCTGTAATGTATCTTTCATTAATTTGTCAAGCATTTTTGTTCGGTCAACAAATTGTATCCACATTAAAACGAATAAAAACTAAAGAAAAAAAACTCGAAAATGTCAAATGCCTCAAAAATTGCAAATATACGAGTAGAAATTCTGTGAAAATGTCAAATGCCTATGATTATTTTTAACCGGACTATAACAAAAAAAACATAATATAGAATAATAAATCGTCAATGACTTCCCATCCTAAATTTCCTTTCCGTATCTTGTCCTGTTTTCTCTACGTTTTTTCCCCCGTTTTTTTCTAAATTTTGAGAAAACGACTACTCAAAATCGACATACCAACCAGATAATAATTATTTTTAAGAAAATACGCTATACATGCATTTTGATGCAAGACCTCTGTTAAAAAATAAAATCGAAAAAATGTTAAAAAATTGAATCACCAACGCCGTAAATTTAATAAACTAAAGAAAAACTAAAAAAAAACTCGAAAAACTTCAAATCTAAATAAATAGCATAGAGATTACTAAAATATTTTGAAAATATTACCACGTCTATAAAAAATCATGTTTATTCTGTTAAACTGTTAGATCATTATGATTATTTTTAACCGAATAATAACGAAAAAAATAACTTTCCCTTTTTCCTATGTTTTTCCAATTATTATGAAAACCACTTAAAAAAATCAAAAATGATCTCTGACATGCACTAACTAGTTTTAAAATACAACGTCTCCTATCATTTTTTTTTTTTTTTTTTTTAATGAAAGAAGATTACTTTTGAGACCTCTTTTGTTACATTTTGGATCGAGTTGATGCATGTCAAGATTGTTTTTTTTTTCAAATAATTTTTAAAATATTTGTCAAAATCCGGAACAAAAGTATAAAAAAAACGGGCAAATTTACTGTGTTAACGAACATATTTTCAATTTTGTTTTTTTATTAAAATCCTGCTAAGATTTTCAAGTGTAGTATATTAGAAAGAAAATGTTGTCTAATATGTTTGTGTATGATAGCTATTTTTTGATTTTCCCTGTAGTTTTGAGAAATTGGGAGGAGGAGGGAAACGTAGGAATTACGGAAAGTTGTGAATTTGTTGTGAAATTTGTTATTTTCGATTTTTGACACTTATTTAAAATGGAGATGAAAACGGAAAATCTGATTATTAGGATTCATATGCAATAGGAAATTATAAAATATACATTATATTTACCAAAATATGCAAAAACTAATTTTTTATTACTACCAAATATATAAATGTATGTTCCTACATGGCAACACAAATCGTACCAATGAAAAATAATCATTTTTCGATATTGTTATCGTTTGTTAGTATCTTTCTTTGTACTGCACCACAATATATGTCGTTAAATAATGTATAGGTAATGTATACAAGATAAGGCTAATGTAATAATATTAGTTAATATTTATGACAATTCGACAAATAAAACAAAAATTACGGACTTATACATCAAAAAAATACCATTTACAATTCATAAAATTGTTGAAAATCTAAATATGTAATTATACGCATTATGTTAAAAATATAAAAAAATAATGATAATAATTTGTTCTATTTAATCGAAAATAAGTCAAACAGTGGACATATCTAACAACCAAGCATTTCGGACTAGAGAAAAACAAAAAAAAACACGCGAGTGCATGTAAATATGAGCGCATGCAAAATTTCAGATTGATTGGACCGCGGAAAGTGGATGAAAAATGGCGTGACACCGCCCAAGGAAAGTCGAAAAAAAGCATTAGAGGTTAGTAAAACGGTTATAATAATGTTCAAGGGTTTGCTAAAGATTTCGATTGTTTAATAATATGTTTTCAAAATGAATAGAATCGCCGATTGCACAAAGGGCAACGTTAAATACACGCACATCGCTACATAGTAGTGACGTGGGGGGTTAATGCGAATGCGCTGCGGGCGAAATGAAGCCGAGTCGAGCCTAGATGAAATCATGGGCCGTGCAAACGTTTTGATAAGTCATAATTCGCGTATGAATTATAAACTATTGTTATTACTATTATAGCCGTGTGGCGCCGTGCGTGCGTGCCCGCCGTTATAAAATAATGCAATTATTATAATTCTTTTTAAATACAAAATCGTTTATAAAAACACGGCACCGTGTAAATATAAGACCGAGATGTCCACTTTCGTTAAAATATAATAAAAAAGTTTATGTACACACATACATATATGTTTGTGTGTAAATTTAAAACCATTGTGTAATATATAATTATCGAGTTAAGCGTCGTAGGAAATATCAATATCAATAGCGCATAAAAACGCGGACAATAAAAGTATGATTTTACAATGTTGAACAACGTCGAACGAATGTTAAAATTATGCGTATACGTATTGTATAATATTACAAAATAGTTTTATTTTTTTTTTTATTTTTTCAAATAATTATGTTATAATGAAGACTACGTGCCTACTTCTTTGTATATATATATATATATATATACGTCAGATATGATAATATTAAACTTGAAAAAAAATAATAATACGCAGTTTTCAATATGATGGAAAAAATAAATATATAATCTAGGTACTAATAGTTAGTAAAAAATTGTTAAGTATATAATTGTTATTAAAATAATATTATTATTATGAAAAACAACAAAAAAAAAAAAAAACCCTAGAAAATGTACTCACGCTTGAATTGGGAATAGAAAACGTGTTTGACAGAGGATACTCCTGCACCTTATTCGACGCTAGTCGGATACTGAACGCGACATTCCGCGGGTCAGTAGTATGCGATAGTAATAATATGTATCTTTTTATTTGTGGTTGAGTTCAATAAAATTTGCATGCTATTGTACATCCATACTGCTGGGCTTATGCGCAGATGTTCAATGAGTTGTAATTAAAGCCATTAAATAACACTCTTCAGTGGTTGTTTTTTCTCATTTAGTCGAATCAAGGGCAAACTTGAAAAATTTATTTTCACTTACCTTATGTTATTATAATAGCGTCTGCAGACGGTTTTATTATTTTTTACTATAATATATCTCTCATATTGATTGTTAGTACAAAAAAGACGTAATTACTTTTTTGTGCAAAAAAAAAAAACAATCGTTATGACTATTGTTTTACATAAATTATTGCATATCAGACATATTGGTATACAGAGTGATCAATACTCGATAAGACACTATATTTATCTCCGAAAGTATTAAAATTATTTCTTAGACAAGTTATGAAATCAGCGACACTAAAATGTTACGTTTTCCATTATTTTTAAAAGTAATTTACTTAAGATTAACCTACTCAATTTTGGATTTTTAAATAGCTATTCGCCATTTTTATTCAAAAATTCTTAAGTATACGAAGTTTTAGTTTGTATACATTTTGGCGTTTGGAATTTCCGTTGACTCGTTAACGAGATACTAGAGATACTGCACTTTGAAGTTTTGGTAAAAAGAAAATATAGTAGAACATTATTTGTGTGGAAATGTGAAATAAACGGTTTAAGTAGGTAGTGCTCCATTACTATTCCTCTATCCACAAAACGACAAACTTAAATTGTAATATCTCGTCAATGGATTGACGGAAATTTAAAATGTCAACATACAAATTGATTCAAACTAAAATTCCGTCTATTTATAAATTATATAATATAGATTGCTACTGAAAAACCAATAGCAGGTAGTAACTTTCCCCCCGAAAATATAGGTGATAAAAAATAACTGTGAAGTAACAATAAAAAGTAAGAACTGAGGACGGGTGCAGCTATTTTTATAGGTGGGTAGTTAGGAAGATGGGACACATTGGATTATTTAATTTATACTTGTAACCTACGATAAACCATTGCTAACTAAAAACTGGTGTTAACATTTTTAATTCCTGTCAACCCGTGAACGAGATATAACGAGATATATAGTTTAGGTAGGGGGAGAGTAGATGCGAATTTATAAAACACCGATACTCGTGCCACCACATAAATGACACTCCACTACTCTCCCCTTACTAAACTTAAAAGTGAAATATCTCGTCAAAGGGTTGATTGTAATCAAAAATTTTAACACAAAAATTTCAAAAAAATTTCTAGATTACAGGACGGATCAGTGTTGTATATAATTTTTATTAGTACGCTTTTTTAGTTTTTTAGATAGTAATCGGGAGCCTAATATCTTTGCTAACCCATAGTAACACTTATTACCCGTCTGTATTCTGACTACAACCCCCCTAGCTATTTCATTATGGTCTGTTCTGAAATATTTATACAAAGTAAAACTTTAAACTGTTAGAAATAATAATTACATTTATGTATACTTACTTATACAAAGGGCCTCGCCCCCCACCCTAAAAACTGTACACAATTTTTACTTTCACAAATATTTAATTGTTTAATGCATACATAATACAAGATTTTCAAGAAAAAAAAGTGGAGCGGTGAATATTCGTCACATCAATGCATAATTTAATGTATCGATTGTACTATGATCTACATATTTTTATATTTTATTTTCTTTTCTTCCTGTGAACCTACCTTCTCAAATTCCTACCTACAACTAGTGATGGCAATCACATATCGATACTTTTGAAACGTCGATTAAAGCTAAAATAATCAATGCTTGACATGGTTAGTTTCGATATTTCGTATCGATGTTAAAGCTTTATATGCCGATGTTTTAATTTAGGTATTTGTCTATCAGTTATTTTTCATGTAATTTTGATGCTGCTTGTCTTCGATGTTCACGAGTATTAATACATACAGTAAGACGAACTATTATGATTCCTGAAGGCTAAATGGCTATTAGTTTTTCTATTTAAACTTTCGATATTCTCAACATCAACGATTTGAAAGGCACACATCGGTACATCAATATTTACAATGAAATTGCCATACCTACCTACAACATCAGTTATAACCAATCCCAGTATCATCTTTTTTTTTTTTTTTTTGCTTAGTAGTAATTTTTTAGAACAAGCCTCTTCCCCAAAATTCAATTCTGGATCTATTCTGGTATTATATCTAATTTTATTAATTTACGCTTAAATCGAATAAGAATCCCTATTCCCTTTAAGTTTTTCGTATTAGGATCAAATTTTTTTTCTCACTCCAATGTTTGAGCCATATATCACATATAATAAATAGAGCCATAGCTTAGCTAAAGCCCATAGCCATGGCCATGGTAATCGCCCATGTAAATAATTTGAAGCGCATAACATAAGCGATGACCCGAGTAGGATTGCCTGATAAGACACGTTATCTGCACATGAGAAAACCGAAAAAAGTATAAATTAATCATGAATTAATTATATAATAATATAAATTAGCTTGGCAAATAGTTGTTTGGATAAATATGCAATAGGTCTATTCATGCGTGCGCAAACCGTGCGTCTCAAACATCGACTGGTCGCTAAAATAATATGTGATTCAAATTATCGGCACGTCTTTCATCTGTTCAAAGTTCAAAATGTATGAACGAAGTATGAATAAAAACCATATTGTATTAAAATTAGTATTTTTGAATTGAGTTTATGTTTTCAGTGAATATCAATTGGGTGATTCATTTCAAATTTAGAATATAAATTTTACAATGAGACTTTGAGAGAATAATTTAAGACAATTAGTTACCGACTTAATCAGCAGACTTTTAATGATGTAATCAGTGCTTACATTGGAAAAATAAAAGAACGCGTACTATGAGGCTTGAAAAATAGTAGCATACCTTGTAATTATTGAATCCAACTTAATTAAAACAATTAAAAAACATTAGAAATGGTACGCTAAAATATTTAAAGAAAATAAGTGGTATTCTGCGGAGAGCGAGTCCTCCTGTGAGCATCCACAATTCAAACACTTTATGTAATACAATTTTACTACATATATTACTTGTTAGAAATACAGAATAGTAAATTTCTACGATACCTAGCTTTAGATTATATACGTAATTCATACTCAGGCTCATACCCTGGCTACTCTTCTGGGGCAGTTGTAGTTACCACTTAAAAGGATGCCTAAATCAGTAACGTAATTTCGGGGTAGTTATTGGGGTATCTACTATCCACTAACCTCCGCCATAGGCACACAGCTTCTATAATTTGTTCCATGTACATAAAAAACATAATATATATTATGAAACCTAAACATACCAATTTGACGAAGAGAAACTAACAATAATAGTTATTTTCCTTTTTGAAGAAATTTTGGGTGAGAATTTATTAATTTTTATCCTTTCTTATAATACAAAAATGGTTTCAAAGTATAAATAGTTGATACTTCTCACAGGTAGAATATACGCAGTGTGCAGAGCCGGAATGTATCGAGGCCCAGTGCGGTCAATTTCGAAGTACGAAATGCTTGTGCTACGATATTATGCGTAAGACAGACAGAGAAAACAAAAATGTTGTGACAAGACCCCTAAATATAAATATTGTACTCTGTGATGATGGAAATAATTATTTTTAAACCCACTCTGACCGTTCAATTTTGATCTTTGATTTTCGTAAATTGAAAGTAATTCTGTTTAATATTTGAATATAAGTAAGTAGGTACTAATATATGGCACATATAAATGAAGGGGAAATTAATTATCATTAAATATAAATATATATATATATATATAAATCAAAGATTGTACATTTTTATTAAAAAAAATCAAGGAGGGGTGTTAAAGATTACACATTTTTAAGTTTGCCGATTAAAATTTAAAATGTTTAATTTTTGTCAACAAAAATAGTAACTAATAGTTATAAAACCATATTATACAAAATTTAAAAACTATCAAAAGAACTGAACGAACAACGCATGTATTGTAACAATGATATTTATCATTATTATTTTTAGATTCTGAGTGGAGCGAAGAAGTTTATGGTTTTACAAATATGTTTTTTTCCGTGGACAACTTTTCTACCAATGGACAGATCCTCCGACTTTTAAGTGTAGCAACTTTTCTGAAAAGATATCGGTGTGGAAAGGTACCTTAGAGAGGTCATTTTTCGATTTTCTCAAGATTTTTCTCAACAAATCTAAAAATCTGAAAAACACTGAAAAATGTACGAAATATAGGTTTTAGCTAAAAGTATTATCAATCAAAATATGCCAAGAGATAGTTTTAATTAAATTTGTGATCTTGTTGGTGCGTTGAGAAGATCATTTTCTGATTTTCTATGATAATTGTGAAAACCAGAAAACATTTTTAAGAAAAACTGACAAATATTTACTGCACTGCGGCGTATAACTGTATACGTATTGTAATCGGCACAGAAAAGTGCACAACAAAAGATTATGTTTTAATTACAAAAACATATTACACGATTGTGAAAGTTTTGCGTGTCTGTTCGAAAACTTTGTATAATACTCGGTCGTAGAACAAATAAATTGTTTATGGGATAGTTAAAAAATTCGAAAAATATGGTTTAATAGACGAAAAAAGAGGTCTGGATATCCTCGAAATCAATCCCAGAGAATCAATCCAGAGAAACAATCCCTCTGTTGCGTGAAAAGTTTCCAGACTGATAAATTTTGTTGAGAGAAAACTAAAACTATCCACCGCTGAGACCAAACAATACAATTTAAAATTCTTAGTGGAGCGAAGAAGCTTATAGTTTTACAAAGATGTTTTTTTTTTTTTTTATCTGTGAACAACTTTTGTAAAAGAAGACTTGTTCGGATTTCTAAGTCTAGTACTTTTTCTGAAACGAAATCGGTGTGGAATGGTACTTTTTAGAGGTTATTTATCGATTTTCTCCACAGTTTTCTCAGCAAATATGAAAAACTGGGAAAATTGAAAAAAACATAGAAAAACCGAGGAAAACGATACAACATTGAACTAATATTATTAAAGAAAATATATAGAGCATACAAAATTATTTTACTATAATATGGCATATATATTGTTGATAAACCATCACTATCAACTAAACTTCGCTCAGAATCATTTTTTCGTATGCAATGGTTTATCGTTGATTACAGTGGTTGCACCCATCCCCATTATCCTAGGACATATTTTTTTTTTTACACTGTCTACCAAAAAACTTGCTGAAATTTTCAAGTATAATAACATTTCTAAAAGGAAATTTTATCTAGTTGGTATTTTAAAGAAGTCATGTTATTTTCTGATCATTTTTCATAATAATTTGGAAAACCGGAAAATTTCCGAAAATAATGCTTTTATTATTTTTAATTTTGTTTTTTTATTGAAAAAGATTTTAAAATATTCGTTTAGACTTGAAACTTAGACAGAAAAATTAAAATTGCATTTTCTAGATGTGGTACAATTTTAAACATATTTATATTTATAATTTATAAGCATTTTAATTTTACGAGTTTTTTTACTTAATTTTTATTTGGTTGGTCATACAAATATATAAATTATTTTTACTAGTATATTTGTTTTGCTTTTTGCTAAAATTATATATACGCCTATGGTACTTCAATTCTATAGTCCCTCTTAACATTTTATACGATATGTCTCAATAATGATCTTGACTCTTGAGTACTACTTCTGAACGAAAAGTATAAAAAAAACTCAACGATAGTCATTATTATCTGAGACAGATTTTTTTCATATGTATACATAACTACCTATCTGTAATACTTGTTATACCAAATAAAATTATTACGGTTTTATGATAATCACTTTAAATATCTGTTTTTTTTTTCTTATTATTATTTTGTACGCTAATATTTTTTTACCAATCAAAAAATTGGTATAAGTAAACAAGTATGTACATTCCACAACAACAGTTAACTCGCAAAAATATAATATATGATATTATATATATATGAGAAAAATATTAAAAAATTGCACGCCCTCAATTATATTATTTTGTTCATTCGCACAAATTTGCTGTAGCAAATTAATAATTTTATTGTTATTAACAATATTAATTAACACAAGTTTATTTTATGTGTGTTTGTGTATATGTATAGCTTTTCATCGTATAATGCATTTCATTACTCACGTCATTTAGGCAAAAGATAAACTGGCCGTTATTAATTATCATCAATTAACTGTGGTCATGACCCTCGTAAAGAACGACGATAAATTCTGCATCTAAACTGCAATTAAACAATTGGTGATATATAGTTAAACGTATTATTTTTATTATTATTTTTTTTTTAATATATATATAATCCAGGATGTCTCACACGGTTGTCAAGTAAATAATAGGATGATGAAAACAAAAATAAACATAACTCATTTCGTTAATTTTTCCGTTCGCAATTCATCGAACCAGATTTTCAAAGTAAGTAAACAATTTTTATCAAATGAATAGCATGATAGCCACTATCGTCGTTAAATAAATAAGTAGGTAGATCATTTTTTTTATAATCTTTTTAGAGAAAAACTGGTGAAATTTAAGCAGAGTGATATATAAAATGGATAGAATTAGAGAGATATATTATTAGTGGTGCTACTAGGATCTTGGGGCCTTGATAATAAGGTAAGTCTCGGGCCCTATAACTATTTAAGTATTCGCAAGTATTTTTTTTTTTTTGTAATATCTGACTATTTATCATTCAACGCGCTACACAATTTTTATTTATTATTAGCAGAATAATAATATTTATAATAATAATATACATGTTACACGGTTAAATTATAATAATAATAAATTATACTGAACAATAAAAAATTTGAATTTAAACAGTTAAAAAAAAAAAAAAAAATCGTCAGTGAAAAAAATAACCAAATGAAAGTATCAATTTGACAAAAGCTATTTAATGTATACTTGCATATAATATGTAAAAAATGTTACTAAAATTTGATATTTTGGTTTTACTCTGCAAATCTGGTTACATTTATCATTCAAGTAAGTACTTACAACAAATATCACCAATTTTTTTCTTGTAAACATAAGCATACGTTGTTTTATTTTTAAAATCTCAAACGATTTCAAAATAATTATTGAAAAAAAAAACCAAAAATCAAATTAGTTAAAATTCCCCCGAAAAATTGTTGTTTCGCGATAAGTGGATCACCCTGTAACTTGTATGTCCTAGAATTTATAATACAAGTGACCGCTAATAAAAAACCAGTTTTAAAAATACGCGATTTTAATACACTCTTACTTTATATCACTCGGATGATAAAGAAAAAAAAACGACCGCTCGTTATACTCACTAAAAAATTATTGGACATACAGAACGAAATACAATTATTAAAATAGTGAATAACTTTAATAGGTAAGCAATCGCAAAAAATCAAACACAACGACGTCATAATATGAAATACGATATTTCCTGTAAAAAAACAATCCGCCTTCCGAATTCGTTTCTCTATGTACGGGTGTTTTTTTAATTCAACAATTAAATTATATCGTAAAAATCGTAAAATGATAATGAATTATTTTCCACGACGTGTTCGTCGAATATTATACACAATTTCGTTCAGATTGCACAACTCTTTTAGCACATTTAAATAGATATTATCATTGTAATTATTATTATTATTATTATTATTATTATTTATAGTGGAATCGAATCCGGGTTTCAACACCGCGTCATTGACACCGACAATTAATGTGGTAATAAGTTGTATTTTTTATATGTCGACCGTTTTCGTTGTTTCGTTGATGATCAAACTGTCGTTGAGAACGTACCACGAGGGACTGACGTTCAGTAATCGCGCGGACGACGTTAAATATCATTTGACATCGTTGTCAATGGAGATTGTCGAAATCACCGAACACTATTGTTACTCGATGAACATCGGAATAAGTATGTGGATACATAATACGGAAAACCTCATTGATAAATTGCATAACAATTGATGAGTAGGCACGCAGTTGATATGATGATAGAAAGTAAAAATGTATAATAATGTTATAACACTATAGCACTACGACAAAGTAGGTATGTATAATCAACTTTACGTAAATGAAAGGTGCAAGAATATGTGATTAATTTCCTGAGTTTCACAGCCAGTAGAAGATCTAAAGCTAATTTAAGGGAGGGGTAAACTGAAAAAAAAAATCGGGAGTCCATTTGTATACAATATAATATACATGCAATTTAATACACTTGATTTACTTTAATATTAAAATGGTTTTACTATGATAAGTGTGAATTTTGTTTATATCTGTAAACAACTTTTCTACTAAAAAATCTTGCACTGATCGAAAAACCGCGAGAACTTTTTCGTGGAATTTTGGACCTAATTGATACTTTAAGGAGGTTATTTTTTTTATTTTTCGAACAATTTTCATAATAAGTAATGGAAAAAACAAAGGACAAACGAGACTCTTTATGGCATTAACGATTTTATTATTTTTGATTTTGTTCTATTGTTGTAGTTTGTTTATCTAATAATAGATTTTTCTAGACGTGGTAAAATTTGCAAAATATTTTGGAAATCATTAATGTAATTAATCTGTGGTCGTAATATATTAATTCTTATTATTGTGAAAACAACTGTCAAATATATACACAATCGACGGTTAAATTCCAGCATAGATAATAAAAAATGGAAAGGACATTTATGTAAATATGTTCCTGAGGGTCGAACAACTGTTATCACCACAAATAAAAAAAGTATATCTAAAGAGCTGATACTGGAGATGGAAACGGTCACTATTGTAGGTGAGAAGTTGGGAAGGTAAGATAAATAAGGTTATTTCTTTTATATCTGTAAGCAACGATAAACCATTGCTTGACGAAAGATGATTCCGAGCGCAGTTCGGTAATACATAATTTAAATTACAGTAATTTTTTTTTTTTGCGATTTTCGTTTAAATTTGATTTCAAAACGCTTATTAAAAAAAAAAGAAAGTCGTCCGATAATTTTGGAAATTTTATCACGTCTAGGTGTATCCAATGTAAGTGTTCTAAGTCTAAGTCTAAGTTTCAAGTCTCTACGTGTATTTATAACCGGATTACAGCAAAAAACTCCCAAAAATTAGAATTCCTTAAAAGCACAAAAGTGGCTTAAAAGTTTTGGCGATAATAAAGTAACAAAGTAATATAGATGATAATTTAATAAAGTAAATCAAAAAGGAAACGAAATTGGTATTTTGTGATTTTTCGATTAAATAATTTTTTCTGTTAGAAAACGTCGTTTGTGTTTTTATAACAATGAAATCGTGAAATTGTACGTTTTCCTACGTCTTTCCCACTTAAGTACTTTTATTTAAAAAATGGCGTCGAAAATCAAAAAATGACCTGTTTAAAGTACCATCTAGACAACTTGAGCTTTCATTAAAGTTACTAGACGTAAAAATCGGAGCAAGTTTACTAGGAAGAAACGTGTCCACAGACTAGGACAAAGAACAAAAAAAATGAAGAAGAATAAACAGTATTGTGAAACCAATAGCTGTTACCTATAACCTTACTACATTCGAAATCTAAAAAAAAAAGAAAAGAAAAAAATCACCTCACTTTATAAACCGATCTTGGAACACTTCAATAAGATAAGAATATCCATATCTTTATCATCTACAAGTTCCATTTGATAACAATTAATAAAAAAGAAGTCCAAGGGGGTTAATTTCCTCGTTACGTTCCTTCCCCTCGAAATTCACCAATGCCCATAGTTAGCACCTTCGATTTAAAATAATAATCCGTTGGTTTATTTCTTATTGCTACTCCATTGAGTTAAAAAGGTATTAATCATAATATAGGTATTAATGAAAACGCTTGATTTTTAATATCGCGCTTAAATAAATACATGAATTAATATCATAAAAAGTGAAGTGCACATTATTGTGATAATATATAAATAAGAAAAAATAAATATTGATCTCTTCACGGTCATACCTATATATAATTTTATAGTATATTGCTCAAGACCTTGCACCCCACTTTAAACGGAGTCTAAACTTGTTGAAAAAAAAAAAATCAAAAATAATAAATACCCAGTCGAAGGTTATATCTTACGTATTATTTCTACATCTCAAATTTTGGTATAATTTTCGGGACAAGGCTAACTATGTTAGGTACTTATAACTTATAATAACTCACTCGAATATAATATTTTGACCAGGTGCGTGTGTTCATTCTTAGATAAAAAAAAAAATTAAATTTTCGGAAAACGGAAAAGTTGTCGTATAATATACTCGTAATATAATATGACGAGCGTTCGCAAAATCACTATCACTATAACTCATCCGGAAAACAGAAAAAAAAAAAAAAAACGAAAATCTACTCGAATAAAAATGATTGTATTCGCGTAGAAAAAAAAAAAACCACTCGATATTATTATTGTTATTTTTTTTTTTTACCGTCTACACGACATTTATTTACGCCACATGATAATACGCACTACAATTTACGCGATTTTCCTGCAGTATCGACGGTGGCCGATCTACCGGGAAAGATGGCCGTGTTATTAGCGTTAAAGTCGATTTGTAATTGTTTGACGAAAATGACGACTAACTCGTGCGCGTATCACGTATTCCGTGCGAATCTGGTGTTGGTCGTCTATCACGACATCACACCGTTGGCGTGGTCGGTGGTTACTAAACTACACGACGCTATCCTCGGCCGTCGACGCCGCAACAGGTGGGTATACAAATTACACAGGTAACGTACACTTTACAATACTAATCATGTGCATACGAGTATAATATACGTACCTTACCTTACCTACCCATACCTTTTGTACCTATAAAGTATGTCGCGTTGAGCGTGGCGGAAAAATATCGCGCGGACGCACACGTATTTTTACCGTAATACCGCGCGATTACGTCGAACCGCCGGGGTCTATTTTTCGTGCTGCGCCACTACGTTATTTTTTTTCCTCCGACAATAATCATATACGGGGGGGGGGAAGAAACCAGAGACCAAGAGACCAGATAAACACATCGTTAATCAACGAGTAAACTTTCCTGGTTGGATCGTATAGTTTACAGTAGAAAGCCTAGATAATAAGATAGTGGCCTTCCGGGTAGATTACCAGCCATTTTAATGTCCGAAATTTTCCCGCCTTTTTTAAGTTTGAATATAAATTCTCATAAAATTATGATTATTTTTTGAATATGATATAATTATTATATTTAATATTTATAATATACAATATACTTACATACACATGGACATGAATATATTTACCTCAAATGAAAATGTTAATTTTAGAGATTTTATTGTAAACTATTTATCTATTTGTTTTCGAAAACAGTAATGCTAATTATTTATTATACTTATATTTATTATTTATTATATTTATAATATTTATTTTTTTTTTATATCATTATTTTGTAAATAGAGTATATAAACTATAAAGTACGACTAGTATTTTTATGAATTGTTGAACTCCAATACAAAAAAGACAGACGTAATGCACGGACCCACAATGGGCAGGCCACTGTTGTAGATGATAAGTTGGATAGGTAAGATATACAAAGAAAATTATTGATATCTGCAAGCAACGATAAACCATTACTTACGAAAAGCAATTTGGTTTGAAATTCAGTTATACATATTTTAAAAGGTCACAATATTATAGTAGTCATTCACCGAGTCCTAACCATCGATTTTTGGCAACTAAATGCACAGCAAGCAGGCATTATGTAAGATGTATTATAAAATATTTATTTAAATAATTTATAAGAAAATTAAGAAAATATGTATAGAAAATGAGTGAATTAAATACAAAAATATACAAAATTACTATACTCAAATTATTTGGACGAAAAATAACGTTCGTAATAGATGATAACAGCCGACCAATAGAAAACGTCCACCGGATTGACCACTTTCTTATTAATCTAGGCTCTCTAGTTTACATTATACCTATTATAATACTGAAGATTACCGTGTAGGTGTAGGTATTAGCTAGGTTTATTATTATTATTGTTATTATTTTAGATTCTGAGCGGAACGATGAATGTATGATTTTATAATAATGTTTACTATTTAAATTTTTTTTCCGTGGGCAACTTTACTACCAAAAATTTTGCTCCAGTTTACGACGGTAGTACTTTTTCTGAAAGGAAATCTAACTGGGGCAGTACTTTAGGGAGGTCATTTTTTTATTTTTACATTTCTAGAAAAACCGGGAAAAAACGTAGGAAAAACGAGAAAATAGGTACAATATTAAACAAATATTATTAAAGAAAATATAATATAATGCACATAATATATTGCTGACAAAGCAACACTATTAACCGAACTCCGCTCAGAATCGTTTTTCGTTAACAATGATTTATCATTGCGTACAGATATACATTAAATTTCCCTTTTACCTTCCCAACTTCTCACCTACAACAGTGGCCCACCCACGTACGAAGTATGACAGTCTTTTTTTTTAAATTTTGAACGACAGAATAATTAGGAAGGCACTATAATATTATGTGTAAATCAACCTTTAATCGCGCTTTGTAATTCCGAATTACACGCATTGAATTTTGTGTTTCTGCAAATCATTATAATTATTGCAGAAAGTGGACGTGTCCACTTTTTTACGAAAATAAATTATCGTTGTATTTATCTACTTTAAATACCATATTTTATGTTAGAATTAGTCTGGTCCGCATTAAACCTGTATCGAAGTATAAGCCGCTAACGTTAATGTTTGGTCCAGAGAAGCGCACAAATCCAGGACATGTACTAGTTTTTTTTTTTTCCTGTAGAATTTGGTTTCATGAACATGTCCCCTTTCTGCAATTGGTGATTCAATTCATGATTAGAGGGAAAACGATCATATACTCAATATTCCCAATATTTTCCCACTGATCGTTTTTTCCCGTGTCCACTCGGTTCGCGATCTTTATTCTTTGCGAATCCATAATTATAATATTTCGACGAATCCAAATTTTTCCCACCACTAATAATAATTCATAATATACCTAGACGTGGAAATACTACGAATACTGACGACTGTGAAAAAACGGCGCTCCTGTGCGCCTTCCGACGCGACTTGTACTTGGGCTTACGCGTCTTGAGGAGCACCGCGGTTCTAATCGTGTCGAGTTACATCAGCAACAGGTGACGTGTTGAATCGATGTTTTTATTATTATTATTATATTTCACGTTATCGTCGGTAGTTGTCATAATATTTATGATGTACACGTACACATATTTTTTCTTCGTTCTTGTACGCGAATTTATTATAATTACTTATTATATTATATTCATTCCAAACGCGTGTGTTCGGAATGACGCCCCTTTTTACCAACGCCGCTTACGCTTATCGCCTTGAGAACTAAACTCACGCATTTGTTGTCTCTATCGTACAAACGCACAACATAGCAAATTTGCATTCAACAGAACCAATTTTTCGTTTTTAGTTTAAATATCAGAGTGAATTAACCTATTACCAAACTCAAGGTAAGAATATCATATTCGTTTGTACGTCGTCGATTTTATTTTTCTAAATGGCAATGTTTTCAACTGAGTTACAAGCGTTTTATCTAAGCAGTCGTATGATATTTCATACACTCATATGTCGCGATTTTTTAACCGAATTTTAGAGGGAGGGGGGAAATTTCAAAGAAAATTAAGTCTAACTTAACCTATCGGGGTGTAAGGAGGCTCGGCAGTAGGAGAGTGCGTGTACTGTGTTATAGTCGTCACTTGCAAATAGTACGGCGTTCTTTTTATACCTTTATGTACGTATTTGCCGTTATTAATACAAAATTAATAACTCGATTGTCAAAATTAGAGATCGGATTTATATGTTCTTAAAATCTACAAAAAAACATTTGAAAACGTCAAAAAGCTTTGAAAAAATCCCTTAAAAAATGTATAAAAACGCAAAAATCGACTGATAATGTATTTACCTTTAAATCAATTAATAGTTCAATGCACACTAATTTTAAAAATAATAACGCACAAAACTGGTTTTGCTGAATGTAAATATGTTGTGCCGTGTGTAAGACTCGGAGCAACAACACGCGTCATGCACGTGTGACGTTCTCTTGACGCGTTTTTTTTTTCATTTACGTTCAATGGTCAGCTTTATGAGCATTAATTAGTTTTGATCGAATAGTCGAAAATTGTGTACTTAAAACTATATTTATTAGTTTCTAATTTGCATACAAACCCGATATAGGTACAAGACGTGACGTATCATCTAGGTAGTTTTTTATTGTTATTTTTTTTTTCATACATTTGTAGCAAGTAGGAAAATGTTATTACTACGACGAAACGATTAAAATCGATGACTTATTCGTAAAATTCGTAACCTTCAAACCGAATAACAAGATATTTATTTTATGTTTGTGTTTGTTCGGTTTACATATCGGCCTATCTGTTAACGCTATTCGTATAATTATAGTTAATTCAGATATACGACGAAACTGACGTTGTTACAGTGCGCTGTACGTTTTTATTTGTAAATATTTTGTTCTGTATTAGAGAGGGCAAAGAACTTGATAAATTATTGTTACACGCTGATCACGTTTGTATCACCCATATGTCCTTTTGTTCTCTCGGTTTTTCAGTCTTCCTGTTATAGGGCCTTCTTATAAAATTCTTATTATCCGTTCTTCTACATCCTGCGCTATTTTTTTATACCTATAAGTCGCACCGTATATTTTATGACCATCGATAACATACCGTACTATATCATTAATATATGATATATATCTTTATATAAATATACAATGGCGTATCAGGGGGTTTGGGGTTGTAACCCACCCCCCCCCCCCGAAATGTCTTCGAAATAAAAAAAAAATACTAATATATAGTTTGAATAAAGAATAAAGTGTTATTACACTTAACAGTTTACACAAATAATACAAATTAATAATATAAAAGTCCAGTTCAATGTAGTGTATGGTTATCGGCTATCGCTTTCGGTTATCCAAAAAGACAGAGTATTTTGCAATTTTGTCTACAAAAGAAGTATATCCACAGGCTAATCGTCTTAAACTAAAAAAATCTATGGGCAATTCAATGGGTCGATCGCCATGATGATGCAGTTTTATTATTTCAAGAACTTCAACCAGCCATTGTACATGCACTAGATAAAATTACACTTTGAACAGATTCTGACACATCTAGTACTGCAAGTCATCCTCTTACTGCGATAAAACAGTCAAAATTTCAAACACCTTTATCTATTTTAGTGAAAATACTTTTCATAAGTTTTCCACTTAGCCAATATTTTCAAACAGTAATTTTTTATTTAAAAACTGCATTAGAAGCTGCTAATGTTCAAAATAATATTCAGGATATTAGAGAAAATTATGATGTAGAGTTTCAACAGTTATTTTTATCCGTAATAACTGTCTGGAAAAAATTTGATATTACTCTTAGTTTGCCACGGAAATTTAAATCAGATGATCTAAAATATTTTTTTAAGTATTCATACCTTTTATAAATAATTGTTTAGGCCAATTGAACGAAAGATTTATATCGCACATGATTTTTTTGAATAATTTTGATTGTATTTTACCTAAGATAGAAATGAAAATATCTGAAGAAATTAAAAGTAAATTCAAACAATTCGTAGAAACATATCAAGATATAATTGATGAATGTAACGATTCAAAATTAAATGGCCATATATTAAACGGACAATTATATTGGTGGTACACTAAATATTCAAATTTAACATCTTCCGAACTCAAGAACAAAAATACTATTGAAGTTTATTTCCAAACTAATCCAAATGTTTATCCAGTAATATCTAAACCTCTACAAATATTCATAACACTTCCGGTGTCTACTGTCACGGGAGAACGATCGTTTTCAACACTCCGTCGTTTGAAAACATTTTTGAGAAATTCTTCGGGACAAATACGTTTAAATGGTTTAGCCTTACTAAAATATATTCACCACGATATCAACGTGGATATCAATGATGTTATAGATTAACTTGCTAAAACATTTATATATTACAGGGGTGAGGAATACAATTATTTATATTTTTTTTTTTATTTTCGGAAAATGTTAAGATAACTAAAAAAATAAATAATAATAAAAAAATACAAAAAAAAATAATAAAAAAAAAATAAAAATAAATAAATAAATAAATTCAACTGAATAGCTATTCAGTATCACACAGCATTTAATGTATTACACATTTATATCCGATAAAGAGTTTCTAAGTAATGTTATCGCGTAACGCGACTAGGTCATTCCCTAGATAATATCGGTTTTCACACGAATTTAAAACGGTTGTTACTTAGAAACTATTCATGGGATAAATGTATGATACATCAAAATTTCCCGGAAAATAAACTCTACAGAATGATAAAAAAAAGTAATTATATTTTAATTTTCTAACTAAAAAAAAAAAATGTAATAAAATTAGAAATATTTGTAGTCCTTATCTCAAACATATTTTAACATAAAAATAACAGAATTTTTGACTGTCTATCATCTCCGGAGATATTCATGGGGTATATCTTCGTGGGACAGCCTGTATATATTATATTATTATTGATCATTGATCTATATAATCGTTTACACAAGAAATCCTGGAATCTTTTTTTTTTAATATAATAAGCATAACTCAAAAAGTAATAAGTACGAATGAAAAATTTCAACTTATTTTCCTGTTATATTATTATACAGGTGCATGTTGGAACTGTGGTCCAAAAACGTTTTAAACACGAAAACAGCATTTTTTAAAACCCGGTGCACTAGAAAAATAAAAGTTAACAACGCAGAATCGATTTAGTATAATAGTATTGTTATTGGAGAAGTAGTAGTAGTAGTAAACCGGGTAGTTTTTGAAATTAATAAAACTTTTTGTGTCGATTTCAGCATGCCAACAATTTAAGAGCCGCAGCCGCGGAAGCCTTCATCACATTTCTGTACTTGGCCCTGCAGGTGGGTTTACGGAACACGTGCACATGTTTTCGGATCTCTAAAAATCATTTGACTTCTGTCGTGTTGATGTACATAAACATGACCGGTATAACTCAAATTTTATTAGTATAAAAGAAAAAAAAAAGACTAGAGTCGAATTTCCCCCACATATTTTGTATAGTAATAATATTTGTTGCAAATCAATAAATAACCGAATATTATGCAACCGTAATATTACTTCCGAAAAAATGATGAAATTTGATTAAACAAATAGTATGGGGGAGGGTTGAAACCCCCAAAAGGCACATCTTTGATGTTAACGCCATGCACATACAACATTTCATCTCCCTGGGTGTTCATGGGTGTACATAGCAACACGACTTTCACCCGGAACAATATGAGTTAAATCATATTGGAATTCAACCAGATTTGTATAAATTCAATCCGCCTACAAAACAACTATATAGGTTTCCCAACTAACACTCCTAAGTTTGAGCTAATTTGGTCCAGATAAAAAAACTGCTAGGAATATCCAAAAGTAGTTGGAAAAATATATACGTGAATACAATCACGATACAATGCAATAGACTCCATTAGAGATATCCCTGCACGGGCCGTCAAAAATGAATCCAATCTGACTCGACAGAAATTCGAAGTAGGCCCGACCCAATCCAATCCGATACGAAAATCCGAATATTCGGCAATCCCAATCCAACTTCGAATCTGGTTGAATCTCTAACCCAGTCCATACAGGACTCTTAGTCTCTATTTTTTGGGAAAAATTGGACAATAAAATTTAAACTCTTACGTGAAATAATTTATTGCGTTATTATTATTTTTAATTTTATAATATTCAAGCGTTTCGGTACACCGGTGTCCTGATGAATCCGACTTATGCCACCGCCTTGTTGTACGGTTGTCCTGAACTAATGAACAGCGGTCATTTTGTCGTTTTTTGGATAGGTCCTGTGATCGGGGCTCTCGCCTTCAAAGATGTCGCAAAAATAACTAACAATTTGTGTACTTGGAGTGGATATCGCAGTACCCGACGGTTGTAGTGTTATTCTGTGCCTACAACAGTATATCGATTATCACGAGTCGTTCACCGAGGTTGCCTAGATATGAAAACGAGTTTGTTTATTCCATTCACGAATACTGGAATACCTAATAGCTATCTGCTGAAAAATTATAGCGAACAAAGTTATTTTTATCGATAACACATCATTTTTTATTTGTATTTATTATCTTTTTATGCGATTTGTCTTAAATATATATTTGCATATCATTTTATTTTAATAAAATGAAGTATGAGTCTGTGCGCGATGCACACCCGAATCCGTCGAACGCAGAAGGTTTGAACATTTACATATAGAAATGGAACTCGTATGGACCTCAAAACCGGATTTATTAAATTCAGGAATACTAACACTAAGTTTTTTGGTATTTTTGAGAAGAAAGTTAAATTAATTTTTTTAGTTTATTTATGAGTTACTTTAACGACACGGTCGAATAAAAAACAGTTATTATCAGTTGATTTGGTTGTTACGAGTAAGGAACCACCCTTCTAAAAACATAAAATTACCAAGCAACAACGATTAATAAAAATGGGGACAAGAGCGGAAACGGGTAGGTACTGTTTTGTATTATTCGTGAGATGTATTGTATAGGCAAAGCTGGACGGGACTGCTGTTATTTAATAAATCGGAATATGAACCAAAACCTTAACGATTTGACTCCGATCAACATAAAAAAGTTTTCAGACGTTTTTGAAAAAACATTGCTCGAAATCTCTATTCTCGAATCACTATACGGAAGTTGTGATTTTATTGAATACCTTAAAAATGTTTTCCAAACTTCTATCGAAGACCTACATAATTTCGGAACGCTAAATACACTAGCGGTTGTCAGCGATGATAATCTTACTGAATGGAAAGCGGAGAAAAACGAACAAACTCTAGAGGAGCAACATTGCTGCTCAAATGACCAAGAATTTTTACAAGAATACGAATCGTTTGAAAAAAAAATGCAAATATTAAAACGGGAAAAAAAAGATATCGATTCGGTTATTGAGAAGTGTACTGTAAGTTTTTTTTCAAACCTATAATTATTTATAACTGACACGGTAATAACTAACAATTTGACACACAATAATAATCTAGCTTAATAACGCTATTAATAATAATTGTAAAATAATATGTTCTACATGAGTATATAGTATTATAAAAATATGGCAAAGACGAAAAACGTAGATTTCAGTAGACAGTTGGATATATGACCTCCACTAAAAATATTATACTTCAATAATTAATAATTATATATTTGCTCGATAAAATATTATTAAGATAATTTTAAATAATGAATAGAGCAAGGAATGTAAGTAGTTTTACTATAATGTATTTTCATTTTATTTTTTGTGTCTGTAAAAATAATTTTCTACCAAACATCTTGTTCCAATCAAAAACTGTATAAGAACTTTCTTGTTGATATTTTTCCATCTATTTGGTGTATTGGAAAATCATTTGTTTTTATTTTCCTTGTAGTTTTCTGAACAAATGGGTAAAACTGGCAATTTATTGCATAATATTTGTTGATTTCTGCAGTTACTTTAGCAACAAGGGAAAAAATATGTCTAAAAATACTCTGCTCAAAATCGTTTTTCGTTAGCAATAGTTTATCATTGCGTACATATTACAGAAAATCTCTACTAAAACCTGCACAAGTCCATAAAAGTGGCACACTCGTTACTGATCAGTGATCAACAATATCAGAATTATAATTACCCCATTTCTCTTTAACAACTCTATCAATACAGTTAAAATTTGAAACCCCTGCTCGTTAATAAGTATAACTAATACCTATGCTGAATTGTTTGAAAACAGTTGGTTTGATAATCTATCAGTTCTGTAAAATGACAGTTATTGAACAGATTATGTTTTATGAACGTATTTCATCCATATCAAATAATACAATGTTATAGGTAATTCTGGTTGTAATCATTCATAATGTATTAACAAAAAAATGAAAAATCTTATTCCAACTCATTAATTGTGTTTGAAGTTTGAATAAATAATTTTAATAAGTTTGTTTTACATTTTTAAGTTCAAATATTTGTAGACTTTAAGAGAATTTTATTTATCTCTATAAACCACGTTTGCCTTGGAGATTAATCAATATTTCAAATACCTCAGATGAGTCTGATTAAAATAAAAGTAATGAAATTGGCATTTTGTTTATATTACGAATAGCACCTCGGAAACAATAAAAATTAAACTATGGTTTTATGTGCCAACAAAATTATTATTAAATATTAAATAAATTTATCTGAAGTGACTTTAAAGTAAAAAATAGTTGAATGTGAGTTTTTAACTAATTATGGTCCAATGACGCCTATAAATATCAATTATTATTATTTATCTATTTATAGATTAATGGTGTTCAGTTTGATTTTTTTTAATTTTCAGTGTTGTTATTATTACATCATTACTTCTACTTTATTAATTGTTGCTTTTTATTGTTGACTTGGTATTATTATTATTTACCTACTGTAAGATATTTTTACATGAAACTTTTTTTGTTTTAATATTATATTATTTCTAATTAGTGTATAACTTATTTGGCCCGTCCCAATTAAATACAAATAAATAAATATTTATTTTTGGAATATTCTGTATTTTGAGGTAAAACAGTTCTATGAATTTACATAACTGAAATAAGTTATATAAAAGTTAAACAGTATATCGATTCGATAACTCTGTGTTTGATAACATTTATTAATTTTATAGAACCGATAATTGGCTGTCGATTTTATATAGCTCCGTGCGACCCGATACATAACATTTAATTATTAATATATTTATAGGAAATTGGAGAACGGACGATAATACGCAAAGAAACAGAAAAAAATTATGTAGACAAATGGGAAAAAGCAAGAGTAGAAAATTTCAAATTTAAATTTAAAGCCAAAGAACTAGAGTTGCAAAGAAAAATAACTAAATTACAAGAAGAATTAGAAACTGAAAAAATAGTAGATACACAGTACGAACAATTTTTAAAGTACAGTATAAACGTAAGCTATAATAGTGTTGTCTTATAAGTTAGGTATGTATTTGTTTTGGAAAATAAAATAAAAATATTTGATTTTTTTTTAGGAATTAGAAAAACAGATCGAATATTGGGAGTACAAATACAAAACTGACATTATGGAGATAGATGAAAAATTGAAAAACCTCATGATAATATTAAATGAAAAAACAAGAAAAATCGACAGTTTAGAAAAAACAGTAAGACAATTTTTAACATCCGTGAAGATGGCCCTTCCACTTTGTACTAGAAACTTATAGCTAGTATTCATATATTGCAATTAATTTGCTAAAATTTGCTCTACGATTTTTAAATTTGTGTACCCTTGGTTTTTGCGGTAAACAACTTCGTTTACTAACTTTGATATACTCATATAATATTTTATTAAAATTTAACAAATGTCATTACTTTTTTACTAAGGTGGACCATGTTTAGAAAATTAAATCGTTGATACGAGGTAAAAATACTCTGAGCTACTACTAAGTAAAACTTGTAATGAATTTCGTGTTAAATTCTCAAACATTTCTGTTTGGTGAATACATTTTATCCACATAGTTCTTACCAAAGAAAAATTAGTTAAAAAAATGACGGACATACTTCGCACAAGGATGCAGCAGTCACTGTTATAGGTGGGAAGTTGGGAAGGTAAAATTCAGAAGGGAATTTAATGTATATCTTAAAGCAACGATAAGCCATTGCCAATGAAAAAACGATTCTGAGCGGAATTCAGTTGATAGTAATGCTTTGTCAACAATATATATGTCATATTAAGTTAAAATAATTAAATAAGCATTATATATTTTCTTTAATAATATTTGTTTAATATCGTACCAAAATTTCCGTTTTACCTACGTTTTTCCCGGTCTTCCCATGTTTTATCTCGGTTATTCACATTTGCTGGGAAAACTCTTGAGAGAATCAAAAAATGACTTCTTTAAAGTACCTTCCCAGTCAAATTTCCTTCAGGAAAAGTGCTATTATTGTAAATCAAAGCAAAATTTCTAGTAAAGTAATTGTCTACAGAAAAAAAATCGTAATATTTTACTTATATATTTCGTACATTATTCCGTTTTGTATTTTAAGCCACTGGAGGTATATAAATAACCTCTAACCTCCCCCTATATTTGCTACTGTCTATCAGAAGTCTTAGTGGTCCCATATAATTTTTATGTTAAATATAAAAACATAATTCGGCTCAAAACAATTAAGTTAACGATTGTTTACATCGTTTAAACAATATAAAAGAATTATATAAAACCGATAGATTTTATTTTATGAAACCTCTTCATCTAACTAAAAATCGAATAAAATAAATTTGTATTAAAATTTATAATAAAAAAAAAAGAGTTAAGACTGGAACGGGTGTGAACACTATTTTAGGTGGGGAGTTATGAAGGTAAAGTTTTATAATTTATATCTATACAAAATAATTAATCATTGTTAACGAAAAACGATTCTGAGTGATGCTCAGTCTATATTATTGCTTTGTGCATTTTCACGATGAAGACGTTTGTTTAAAAAAGATTTTATTTATTTAAAACACGGGTTAGTAGCTCAATGGTTAAAATTATATAGTAGATTCTCTGAGTGTTTCTAGTTCCCACATATCTTAATATCTTCTACCAAAATATACGTGGTCTTAAAACTAAACTCGTCTCCTTGAAAACCAATTTCCCTATTTTTGTCTCATATGATATTATAGTTTTGACAGAAACTTGGCTCTCTTCCGATATCTCTAACTCTGAACTAAGTTTAATATGGAAAATATCTTCAATTACACCTATCTTATATACTTGCCTATCTTTATGTCTCTCTATGGTTCAGTCACTGCTATTATCTGTTGTTATCTGGCACCTATATTTGGAAAAATATCAACTAAAATAAGGCTGGAGAGTGTGCAAAATAAATGTCTAGCGTATGCTGCTTTCGTTCACAAATTACCTGATCCATGAGCCATGATTTTTACACCTTGTTTACGTGAAGTTTTGAATATTTAATCACTCTATTCTCGTCGTTCCAATGCTGACCAGCATTTTATTATTGTTTTACTCAATGTGTTATTTAGATACAACTGACATACTTTCAGATATCTCCTACACACTCTATATCATATGGCCATAACAATCATACATACCGCATGCTCCGATCATTCAAATAGTAATCAATCATCTCTGTAATATTTTTATTTATTGTTTTTTATTTTAAGTATCTAATTTTCTGTTATTGTTCGTACTATATTTTAATCTTATATTGTATTGTCCCACGGCGTAAACTTGTAAATAAATAAATAAATGATCTAATATACAGGGTCATTCAAATTGCACGATATAGTCAGATTTTCAATGAAATATTTATTTTAAAAAAAATGACTTATGTAAAAACTTTTTGAAATCGTATTATATATTCTAAAATATTACGTTAGCCTAATTTTAGAGCGTGAAACGACTACTTACTTTTGATTTTCAAATGACAACTTATGTTCGAAATTCAATAAATAGTTGGAATATTCAAATGTTTTTGTGTTGAAATTATTGATCTTCATTAACTCGTTGACGAGATATTCCACTTTTAAGTTTGGGTAGGGGAGAGTAGTAGAATCCTCACGGGTTGCAATTTGTATTACAAACTGCATTATAGTATACGTATTTTGAAGTATATTTGATGACTAACTTTTTGTGTGTTTAATTTTAAATTTCAGTATAACGAGAGACAAATTATTATCGAGGAACACGTGTTGAATAAGCGAAAATTGGAGGAACTGAAAAAACTCAACGAGCACAGGGAAAAAATGGCTACGAAAATTCAAGCTTGGTGGAGAGGCATTATGGTCAGACGTCGTTTGGGTCCTTATAAAAATTTGTTAGGGCCTAGAAAAAAAAGTCTTAAGAAACCGTTAGTAAATAAAAAAAAAAAAACGAAGGGCAAGTAAAACACAGACAAATTTTCAAAACTATTAACTCATTATCTTAAGTTAAGTAAAATTAATTTTGAAATGCCGTAATTTACACGATTTCTATTACATTTTGAATGCGTGTATAAATAACTACGAAATACGCCCAGCTTTTGTTTTTTTTTATCACAGTGTACAACTTATAATGAATCTCGTGTTAAATTTTCAACCATTTCTGTTTGGTCAAATAATTTTATCCATAAAATACCTATCAAATAAAAACTTAAAAAAAAAAAATCGAAAATTTCTATTTGGTGATAATTACAAGTATCCACGATTATTTTCAACCGAATTACAACAAAAAATTAAACTCGAAAAAATGTATAATGAAAAATCTATAAATGTCGTAAACTTTCTCGTTTTTCACAATTATTAAAAACTACACGGAAAATCAAAAGAGGTTCTTCTAAATGCACCAACTAGATCCAAAATCAAACAAAAAATCTCTTATATTTTTATTGATGCAAAATCCCTGGTAGAAAAAAAATTAATTTGCACGTTTTACTTTTACAGTTTCAAGTACCTAGGTAGGTTTGTTTATTTTTCTCTCTTTCACACCACATCGCGGATTGATTCCTTTAAAGCTTCTAGTTTTTTTTTCCTCATCATTTATAACTCATGTTTCACATCTATATGTTACTCACAGAGTCACACTACACACATATGTTTTAATGAGTTTCTTCTTGGTATTGAGTAGTATCTTTTTTGAAGTGAATAGTTTATTTTTTTTTTTTTTTTAAAAATCTGTGAAAAAATTGTTCACTATTATTATCATGAACACATTTTATGAATACAATCTCACGTATTTTATGCAACTATCATTTAAATTTTTTTTTTCCAAGAATATCAGAATTTTTATTATATGTTATATACAATTACGTTGCGGGACACAAAAATTATTATTATAAAACGTGTACAATAAAGATTTTGGCGATTTTGCATTTTAAATTCTATTTTATTTAAAATATTATTCCATATTCGTACTTGATTTTAGTCTTTTGGATAATATTAAATACTACTACAATACTTGTACAAGTATAAAATATCCTAACAGAACCCCTCCGTCAATTACGCGTGTAAAAACCTCCCTAAGAAAAAAAAACTCAAGTTAGAAAATTCGTGATATCAAAAAGGAGCCAAGTAATTTCTTAAATTCGTTAGTATAGAAATTGTTTATAATTGTTTGTATTTGATGAAGTACGATAATTTGATACAAATAATTTAACTTAGCTTGGGGGCTACTAATATTTACGACTACAAATAAATATACAATGCCGAGATGAATATTTACATCCCCGTTTTATAATATTGCCATAATACTATTTAAGTACATACAATGAGTGAGTAGTCATGAGTATTGATATTGATACACAATGAATATATATCACTTATTTGTTTATTAAAATGTTTGATATTGAATGTTATTATTTTATCGAGTGAAAAATGACGGGGACATAATATCTTGTTGTTTTATGTATTGAGTAAATTCATATACGATGTATAGCTATGAATATAGCTTATTATGAATGTTGCTGGAAAATTATACTATAGTAATACAGTGATAAAATAAATAAACAAAATTGTTTTTCATTCACCGCAAACGGCCACCGTCGCAAACAGGTGGTAACAACGCGTACGGCATAATATAAACTGTTGAACTGTTGAAAAAAATAGCGTTTCGAGTAAAAACTATGCTAACACTTTTGCATATTACTCAACTTGAAATTTACAAAAGTATCATCTGCTTAACATATTGATCAACCCGTATAAGTTTCAAAACAATCCAGTCAATTAGTTTAGGCTACAGAGAAGTCGGACCATTTGGTTGTAAAATTACACAGGTTAAATAGGAGTTGGCGGTCTCGTGTAATGTACTACGGTCGACGCACGAGCTCTTTTTCTTTTGTACTTGACCCCTACCATAGTAACATACGACCAAATTTGTTTAAATTAAAACATCTATTGTTTATTAGTTAAGTTTTTTTTTAAGTTTTGCAGTAGGTACATAATATAAGTTTTTGCGGAAGAAGAACTTGGCATTAAATAGGTTATACTCAGTTATAGGTACTCGGTACTTTTAAATTTAAATATGTCTTCGTTGTCTGTTTATAACTGCGTATTACAGTATTTACAGTAATTAAATATTAATTCAATATTATTATAGTCTATAGGCAATATTAATTTAAACGAAATTGTTGTTTGTCGCTGTGTAGCTATTTTATACCTCTACAAAAGATATTTTTGAGCTCAGNATTAAATATTAATTAAATATTATTATAGTCTATAGGCAATATTAATTTAAACGAAATTGTCGTTTGTCGTTGTGTAGCTATTTTATACCTCTACAAAAGATATTTTTGAGCTCAGATATATTAAATAATATATAAATTGAAATCCATCTATATATCTATATATAATATTACAATATCATTTTACGAAAGTGGTTATAGAGGGAGGGGGTGGTAAGATAGGTGTTTGTAAAATTTAATTTTTTATTTCATAAACTTATATTATAACTATGTTGAAATAATAATAATAATGATTCTTTGTTTACCATTAAAAACCAATACAAAAATAAATAAATCCTTTAATAAAATGTGGAATGACTGTGGATTCGTCTCTTATTCGTGAAAAACATAGAGTAATGTATTCAAAATTGCAAAATATAATCATTCATATACTAAACAAAACAAATAAAATCAATCACCATCCCTCCCCCAAATTACGACACCATTGAGCGATCCGCGAATTTTGTAATTTTCATATAGCGTTTTCCACTTACAAAATAATATATCATAATATTATTGTGAAGTTTTGTTAATTTATCTATAAATCAACATATTTATACTACTTACTGATTAAGGATGATCAACTCAAAATAATTAGGTCATTTTAATTTAAAACAATGAAGGTCAGACCATAAAAATATTTAATTTTTAGTTTTATAACCATAATAAAAAATAAACAAGCTATGTTTGAAGTATGCATATTATACGAAAACATCTACTGAATTATTAATTCTGAATTAATTAATTAAAATACAATTCATAAAAATATAATAAATACAACATGAAAATACATTATAATATTGTAATTATTACCACCTCACCATTATTACCTACCAATTACTATTCCAGTTAGATTTATTTTCAGAAAAAGTGCTACACATGAAAATCTGAGCAAAATTTCTGGTATAGACAAATTGTTCAGATAAAAAAATTTTAAAATTAAAAAAAAAAATAAACATTGTAAAACCAATAGATTCTTCGCTCCACTCAGAATCTAAAAGATACAAAATACCTCACGTAAGGTACAGGCTATGTTATAGCATAATCACAAAAAAAAAAAAAAATGGTAACCCTACTGCTGAAAAGATGTACTAAGTTAAAAAAAACACATTCCTCCCGCAATAACACGGTGAAGTTCATATTGAAATTCAGTCAAGATTTAACCACTTTAATACACTTATATAAAAAAAAAACTCAAATTCTTGGGTTTGAGCTCTTTGGTTCAAAGGTAGCTGCTACTAAATGTGTCCAAATGAACCGGGTAAAGAATACCAAAAACAATATGGTGTAGTTTGAGAAAATTTGATAAACATTAATATTTTTAGGATTTTGAGCACCCCATGGAATTTGGAAAACTCAAAGTCGTAATTGCATGGGAGCCAAGTTTACCATCTATTAAGTGTCTGAATGAAATTTTTTTTAAATTTGTATAGCTTTTAAAAGTATCATAAATAAAAAAAAATAACTAAGAAAGCATTCAACAGTACAAGAAAATCTCTTTGTTTATTCGGAATCTAAAGAGAATTTAAGACAACTGATAAAAAAAAACCATAAGAATTATTGCAGAAATAATAAACATCGCGAAATTGTCTAATTTTAATACAAGATTTCAAGTCTAAAAATAATTCACTAATCGCACGTTTAATAATTGAACTATACGTAATTGCAATTTTATTATTGTTGTCTTAATTTGTTTAACAAGTTGCACGTGATAAAATTGAACTGAACATCTCATTACGCGCGTGTAACGATTAGCATGTCGATTATAACTAGCGCTTAAATTTGAGAGAGAAAAAAGTGAGGATTACGGTGCGGTTTAAACATTTAAAATACATAGACACACATGTTTCCGGGATCTGTGCGTACATCACACTATAGAAGCCACTTAAACATGTCAGTGTTTTATACGATATATTTTAAAACACTGACATATACTATAATGTTATAGCAAAGAAATTCAAAGAAAAGTTCCTCCTCGAAAAAAAAATCGTGAAATATTAGTAAAAAATATATTTTTATTATTACTGCAATGTTATGCTCACGCGACATTGTAAATTTGTACAGAATTTTATACAATATATATTTACAATGGCGTGACTAAAAGATTAAAATTCGGCTGCTTAGCATTTTGCATTAAGGCAAATTAGTTTTAGAATTTAATGTAACGGGCCATTCGAAAGAGATCCAAATATTTATCACGACCCGAACATTTCAATACGGGTTGAGAAAAAATGTAAATTTACGACGCCGATCAACGATTTGGTGCATCGATACCGTCGCGGCTGCACCCCGAATACTTTTAAAATGGCTATTCGGAATTCCAGCCGATGTAAATTTATTACCAACGGGTTAATCTTCTTTTATTTAATAAAATAATAAAGTAAATCCAAATTATTAAAATGGTTAATATTGGATAACAAATATAGCAAATAAATACGGAAATAAAAAAATGAACAAATAAACGAATGCGTCGCCTGGAGTATTACGATTAGGTGTATTAAACGACCGGTGTCGAGTAAAAATTTTATCATCTCGGGTATATCACGGCCAAAGTGAAAAGACGCCACTGAGAATGCATATAAATAAATTAAATGAAGGAATACATAGAAGAAAAATTGTACATACCGATCGTTTTGCATAGAAATAATTTATTTTAATAAGAGAGATTATTTAAAGTGGGTCATTATTAGACAAAGATATGTTAAGAAATATAAACTATTTGGTTATTATTTTATTATCTCGAATGTATTGATATAAGATATCGTTTTTAAAATCGGTTTGTACGTTTAAAATTGTTTTTCTTCATTCCGTTGTACAAGTATACATGTAATTCTTCTAGAACTGAATATATGTAAGTGTTATTTTGGGTATTAATATCAAAGCTTATATTATGGTTGTTTTCTAAAACATGTTTAACGAAATTTGAATTGGGGGCAGTCTTTTTTAATTTTATTTCAGAAATGTGTTCTTTATACGTTATTTTAAAATTTCTATTTGTCTTACCTGTATACAATTTATTACAATTACATTTAAATTTATATATATACCAGCATTTTCAAAAAAAGGGGACATTTTTGAAGTTTTTAGTTCTATTGTTTATATGTTTGAATAAATTATTATTAGTCTTAAAAACGATTTTTAAACATTATTTGTATAATTTTTCAGAATCTTTTATTTTTTGGAATTTTTTGGAATTCGTTGGACATGTTATTTTGGTATTTCATGTGCTACAATAGTTAACAACATTATTTGGCGAGTTGTGTATTTTTTTTTCTTTAATACGTTTATGAATTTTTTTTTAATAGTATTTAAATTGAAATTAATTCTATATATAAGCTTTATTTTAGATAATATTGAGCTCGTGTTGATAATAATGTTTATTTAATGGAATTCGTTCAAGCCTATAGAATATTGAATAAAAAAAATGATGTTTTTTGAGAATAAAGGTGATTAGAATCATATGGTATTACAGTATCAGTTTGTGTAGGTTTCGTGTAAATACTAAGATCAAATTTATTTTTTATTATGGAAACTGTAAGATCTAAGAAATTTAATTAATTATTTATTTCGTTTACATTTTTAGATTCTGAGTGTAGCGGAGAATGTATAGGTTTTACAAAGATGTTAATTATTATTTTTTTTATACCTACTGTGTACAAAAATTCTACCATAAATCTTGCTCAAAGTATCATATATAGCACCTTTTTAAAAATGTAATTTTCCATGGATAATTTAAGGAGGTAATTATTTTGATTTTTAAGCATTTTTCATAATAATTGGCAAAACGTGGGAAAAAAAACAAGAAAATTTTACGAAAATAACGCTTTTACTATTTTTAATTTAATTTTTTTTTTTATTGTAACTCAACTAAAAATATTCGTAGACTTGAAATTTAGACAGACAACCTATATTGTCGTTTTCTATAAAATTTTCAAAATATTTATGTTATTTTTAAGCTATTTATAGGCATTTTAGTTTTACAAATTTTTTACTTAATTTGTATTTGGTAGATCCTATCTGGATAAAATTGATAAACCAATCAGAAATGCTTGATAATCAAACAGGAAGTTCATTATAAGTCGTAATTTGTGAAAAAAAAAAATGAATGGAATGGAGAATTTTTTAATAAGAATTTTAATATCAGGGAAATCGCAGAAAAACGCGTTGTTATTATTCGTGTACCTACGAGGTGCGATCAAAACGTACCGGGACTATTTGAATTGCGCGCCAACGGAGGCGTCGAAGAGCAATAGGATTGATATCGCTAAATTCCATAGACATATTAATAAATGGACTGATCGTAGAAAAATGTTCGTATACCAACATTGTTTGAAAGACATGGCATACAACTTAAGACGGCCGTAGAAGTACGAACCACATATCATGAAAAACACTAAATTCTTAACCTAAAATAGATCTTCAGTATTATCACATTTCCAAATTTTGATTATCATTCTATGATATCTCATTTTTTTTTTATGATTTTCTTTAACTAAACTCTATCCCTTTCATACATGTATAATTTCTTTGATCTCTTTCTAACAATGTTGGTCTAACGGGGACATAGACGGGGCAATCTATTTATCAATGTCTATGATGCTAAATTATGTGACTGGGTTGCGTTCTGAGGGGTTATCCACGATTTCTAGGGAATTCGCCAGATTTTGCACCGCCCATTTCAATGAACCTAAAAGTTATCAACCATGTTACCCAAGGTATGTTAACTCGTATAGTTTTATCACAAATAAATTAGGTTTTGGTGGCCACAAGGTAATATTCTTATCTATTGATAAGGATACTACCCAGTTAATAAATGAAAATAATTATTATATTACATTTTATATTAAATGGCTAAAAAAAAAAAAACAAAATGTAAGATAATGGGGACGGGTGCAGCCACTGGTGTAGGTGTGAAGTTTGGAAGATAGATTACAGACGGAAATTTAATGTATAACAGTAAGCAACGATAAACCAGGAAATGTCAAGGATCAAAAACAGATGCAATTATAATAGTAACAATCATTGCATAGGTAGTCGATAAAATGGAAAGAAAATCTTCTCAAACTAGTGCTGCAAAATCATATGTTAAGGTCGAGCTTTGGCCAAACTTTTCTAAAAAATTAAACATGAGGCCGCTTCATTTTGGTTAAGTTTGGCTGTCACTAATGAAAAGATGAATTCAACCATACCTCATCACTAAAGAGCGAATATTTATGCATTTATCATATTTATATATAACATCTAAATTAATGCAGAGTAAAATACAAATTTTTTTCATCACAATAATTCAAATTAGCAAGTTAATTTTGAATATTTTTGCAAATTTGTTCGTTTTTTACTTCCTTGATCATATTTTAATATGTATCATGTTTTTAGTGCATATTTGAAGTTGTTCATAATATTTAAACGTACGTACGATTATTTTAACCAAAACTGAAAAATCCTACGATAGTACTTCTCGATACAATATTAATTGTCACAATCAATTTTATGTCAATTTTTCAGTTGTGTAATGTGTTCCACGTTTTGTTTTCGTTTGACGCAAATTTCTATATTATATACAGTTCATAAGTATTTCTTTTAAAATGCCAAAAACTTCCAAAACGTCGTGACTACATACTTTTGTTTATAAATTTAAATTTTTTACTACCGATAGAATTGTTTTATACTGTACATTGTGTAATAGGTACTTCAGTAAATGATGATCGACGTTTGTTAGTGCTTAAGCATATTAATACAAATAAACATATCAAAAATTCCAAAGATAAATCTGTGTCAATAATAATTTTATTGAATCATATTTTAAATAAATTCTAAGCATATTATTTAATTCTTCTGAGCATAAATATCCGCTCTCCACTCATCACCTTGAAATTGTATAAACCTACTAATTTATAATTTGTATTTTTTATTCATATACCAAACACATTTTTATAAAAATATGAACCAATTTGTATAGTAATTATTTAATATGGTCATTAATTAAATATGCTACATATATCTATTTCTTTGATGGTTGATATGGTTATACATTAACTAATTGATGTAAAGGAATAAAAATACATAAAAAAAAAAAAAAAATGAATATATATGAATAACTTTGCTATAAACGATTTATTTTAAGTTACTTATTAGATAACTGTTAATATAATAGGTATAAACTATAAATATAACTGCAACTTAACAAACTTAACAACTACTGAACAATCTCTTAAAAACTAATTAACTCGTCACTAATATACTTTTTTCTTATTTACATAGGATACAAAAAATGAATACCGGTAGTTCAGAGATCACTAATTGTCCACAAAAAATACCGCTTTTATAAGTATCTTCCCCTTCCCTGCCCCTCATAGTTTTAAATTATTCTTAATTTAATTTTACTTGGCAGTAACAAGAATCTCATAGGCAAAATAAAACTACTGTTGTTCACATAACATACTTAAAAAAAAAAATAACATTCAGTCATTTGTGTCACATTTCATCAATACCTTAGTTATATATTATTATATTAACATCAAAAATAAGTTTAATTTAAACTTTAAAATAAAAATATTTTTAATTGTTAAATTTATTTGGGTACTTCAAAATGTATGCAGTAAAATTATTATTGAACTGCATTTAAATTATAAATTATCTTTGGTATATTGAATCAAATTATTGTAATTTTTTTAAGATTGTGCAAAATATACTTTGGATCAAGTAAGATAATATTTTTACTATCTGAAAGGCTTTTTAGTTTGACAGACTAGAATAAAATAGTTATTAAATATTAATTTAAGAAATGTTAACTACAATATAAATTTTATTCAGGTATTATAAATTCAAAATATGTTTTTTTAACATACAATAGAAATAAAATTTATATTTTTAATCTTATCGATTTGGTAGTATTTCCTAATAACAATTTTTATTGAAAACAATATTAAATAAGACAATTAATTGGATATTCACTGTCAAAAAAAATACTGTAAATCAATTGAATCACTTATAATCTGATATCAAAAGGTAACATGTTTAAGATAAGTATTGCACAATTAATAAAATTTAACAAAATAAAAATCATTCTCATATAGTTACTATAGATTATTAATCTCATATTACTTTTGAAGTTTCAAAAAACAAACTAATCAAGTTAGTACCCAATTAAATTTAAATATTTAATGAACAGTGTAAATATTGTATGATTTATAATAAACCACATATTATACATTAATTTGCTTAAATGTAACTTTTTTTTTTTTTTAATGTAATCCACTACATTAAAAAAAACTCAAAATACTACACGACCAAATATATATCTTGTTATTTATCTATAACTTTTACTTTTGGAATTAATAATTTATGTTAACAATGATAAAATATATATAACATATATATATATATATATAAATATTATATGTATATTGTATGTGCATATATACATACAATATTATGTATGACCTAATTTTCTTCAGAGCACTATTGAGCAAAAATCATTTAGACTTTTGGTTTAAGTACTTAACAATGGATATTTTTTTTTTGTAAAATAAATTTTATCACAGTATAACAGCCTTTTTTTGTCATAAAGGGTCGCCACAATTACTTGTCTACCTATTGTTCTGTTTATGAATTATCAATAAATAACAATTTTGAACACAGAAGGGCGAAATATTTTGCAAGTATAAATATAAATATATTTTTTTTTTTTTTATCGACCAAGTTTGTTGTTATTTTCTGGATTTTAAAGAGGGGGAATTAAGTTAAATAATACTATAAAAATCAAAAAAAAATTAGGAGCTGACCAGTCTTGTTAGAGCTATTTAACTTTGATCACATACGAAAGCGGCAATTTTTTGTATTTATAAGGTCATGGACCTCATATCTGAACACATGCCTTCTACCTGAGGAGGGACAATATCACCACCAGCCAACTGATCAGTACGATTGTCTTCACTGCTTGTTACTTCAGGATTATCATTATGGTCTGATGTATATCGATTTATTCTGTTTCCCTTATAAGACTAAAAATAATTTTTAAATTATAGGATTAATTAAAATAGCACTGAGTTAAAAATAAGATATTCTTTCTTACATTGTAATTTTTCTTGCTTTGGTAGTTGTTATTTCCATGTCTGTTTCCTCTATTGTTATACATCTGCTGGCCATTAGAGGGTCGGATGTTTCCCTGACCGGGATAAGGATAGTTTGGATTTAACATCACCTGAGGAACAGCAGGATAGTGCATTTTAGGAAACCGTTGTCGGAAATTAGTATTAGGAACAAATATTGGGCTAGTAGTAAAAGATGAATTGATCATAGGCCCATTAGGGTGCCTCGGATGTGCCATAGCAGTAGGCCCAGTTTTATAAAATGTTCGAGTTTCCGGATATTTTTTAGGGCTATTTTTCATGTAGTCATTGTTATTTTTAATAAATAGATTGTTGTTGTTGCCTTGATATTGCTGAGTGTCACCGCGTTGCTTAGAAAAGTCCTTATGTTCAGGACGCGTATTTATAGTAGGAGGGGGATGTCGAATATTATACTGGATTTGAGTCATGAGTAATTGATTAGGCGATTGGTCAGATTTTTCATGATCTGGTAGAGATGATGTGACAGGTTTAGAAGAAACAGTTGAGTGGGAAATTGATTGTGATGAAGGCTCAGCTAAGCTCATAACTGGAGTTAAACACATCTGTTGAGGTTCAGATGTATACATTTGAGGTTTTTCCTCGTCATTTCTAACTACAGACATCAATGATACAAATTGATTGGTGGTAATTACTTGAGCTTGCCCCACCTAAATCCATACATTCAATATTCAACACAACACACTTTACAAAGAGCTGAGCGAGAAAATAAATTATGTGTAACTAATCTAAAAGTAGGTACATTATGCACATAATAATTCATTCAAAGTGAATATAATCAATTTCTGGAGAAGTTTTAGAATTAATAAAGTAATCCCTTACCTTTAATAATATTTAAATTACATAAAAAAAAAAAAATGAAAAATGAAAAACTATAAAAACATTTTAGTGTTTTAGTGTGGTAATATTAGTGTTATAATTTCTTACTATCTAATGTAATTATTATTTATTTTTATTTTTAATTATTAAAATAATATGTATCAATAACTAAGTTTATATGATATCAAAACAGTTTTAGATCCATAGATACTCACTTCTGTATTATTATTATTTTTTTAAATCGTTTTATTTTCCTGCAAAAATACAATCATTTGTATGACTGTATATCTAAAACATTTTAATTTTATCATAAAACCATGGTAAATAACAACATATTATTTTATAATTATTGATGTCAGAATTTAAAAAAAAGTAAATTGCTAAACTACATATGTAAGAATAATATTCTCACTGATAATAATCAGAAAACTTGCTATTATCTAATAGATATGCTAAACCATATCTATTAGAGTGTAATATGATTTAAATAATTTTAATATGTATTTATTTATTAACAAAGATATAGAAATATTTTTAAAAGATAACAAAATTATGAAAGTATAATATAATATTCAAGATCTACTAAATATATTAGAATTAATAATTTAAAATTAAATAATGAAAATTAAAAACAATTTGTATATATTATTTAATGTCCAAGTAAAAAATATAGGTACTAATCTCGGCTAAATTTCAGCATGTTCGAGAAAATAGTTCTTGAAATTTATTTTTATTTTTATCAAGCAAGTTTTAATTTCACTAAATATATATATTTACTCACTCAGCTCTAAAAGTTTTTTTTAAATAATCAACTTTAAACTATTTAATTACCGAGGCATCTGAAGATGGCGGCCTAGGATTTGTGCATTGTTCAGTATAAAATGGTTGATGAACAAGCTGAATATTTTCCATTACTGGATCGTAATACGGGTAACTGCCATCTGCAGTTGCAACCATATAAGGCATATAAGGTGACATGATTGGCATTGGATATGCCATTTCAGGAGTAGGTATTACACTTGACATTTGAGTTCCAGAATAATAAGGTGTATCACACGGCATCGAGAAAATAACCTTAGATCCCGGAGTACCATTACAAACCTAAAATAATAACTGTTAATAATTTTCAAGATAAAAAAATATTTGTTTAATATATATATAAAATATAAATTTATATAAATGTCGCAACAATCGTGAGTACAATGAACTTCTAGACTATTGTTAATTTTTAATGGTGTGCCGAATGGTATTTAATATAATTAGTTACTACTAAATGGCAAGTAGTATTTTTAAGGTCTTTTTAGATGTGGCCAGCATAAAATTGACTTGTGCCTCTATCAACACAAACTGTAATTTGCACAACTGTAACATGTAGGATGTCCTATGAAATATACCTATTATAATATCTCCAGAGATAATCAAATTCTGTTTTTTTTTTATATTACTCTTTGGGATAAAGACTACAAATATTTACATTGCAATTTATTTTATATGCTTTGATAAAAAAAACTTAAAAAAATAACTTTTTATTTTATTTTTAAACATTGCCATTTTATAAAGTTTATTTTTCTGAAAATAGTAATGTATTATAACTTTTGAATTTCAATAAATTTGTGATTATTAATAATTTTTTAAGTTTAAAGAAAAGAAGTATACAGTCAAATAATCATAACAATAATAATAATAATCAATTAGAGAATACGATGACAGCCTGCTGTATAATTATAGGTACTTTTTTCTGAACTTTATGAAATAATTAAAAATCACAAATTGGATGAAAATAAAAAATTAATAAGTCAACATTTTCAGAAGAATAAATTCTATAAATTATTACATTTTTCAAATATAATAAAGTTATTTTTTTTAAAATTTTTACTAAAACATGAAAAATTAATTGCAATATAAATATTTTTAGTCCTTATCCCAGTGAGTTATATGAAAAAAAAAAAAAAAACAATTTTATTATCTTTATTATTTTATTTTATGTATATTAAACTGGTTTTAACCCTTAAGCAAAATACAATTAATACGCACAATTTCTGCTTAACTTAATAGTCAAAATTTGATGCATAAATATAAATGGATACAAAAAAAAAAAAAATAGTATAATAATAGTCTAAGTATTAAATTAACAATAAATAACAGAAGTAGCCAGAATTATCTCCAGAAATATTAAAATAAGTACTTCTTCGTGCGACAACCTGTATATATTGAACACTAAAATTGCAATTTTATTGGAAGAAAAAAAAAGTGTTATATGTTTATGGTTTAAGAAGATTAAATGAAAAGTACTTAATATCATTTCAGGAAAAAAAAAATGGACATACTTCTTACGATGAGTAGGCCACTGTTGTAAGTAAGAAATTGAATGTATGCAAAAATGAATCATTCCTAACAAAAAGCGATTCTGAACAATGTTCAGTTATACATGTTTTGTAAGGTCTTTATATTTAAGATTTAAAAATAATAAATTTTATAAGATTTCCAGTTTTTCTCATTTATTACAAAAACCCCTGTGAAAATGACCTCAAAAGTATCACTAGATTCAAACTTCCTTTCAAAAAAGGGGCTAAACTTGAAAATCTGAGCGAATGAATGTCTAGTAGAAAAGTTGTTCACAGAAAAAAAAATTTTTATTAGTCAATTTATTACCCTTCCCTACACCAGAAATCTAATTTACTTAAAACCCTCAGAGATAATTGTTGGTTCATGTTAAAAAAAATCACTCTGTACAATAGTTTATCAACCCAATAGCAAACCTTATAGATGGAACCTTATGCAACCCTGCATAAGAGTCAGAGGTAAGTCAAAACCAAAATTCTTGAGATTGTTTATATAATTTCTATGAATTCTAACAGAATTATTAAAATATTTTATATTTAATGGAATACATAACAGTTTCAGTTCATATATTATCCACATGTTAGCACAAGAAATTAACAGTATATTAATATAATTTAAAATTAAAATATGTATATATTTTTATATATATAACTTACTGAACTTGCTGGCATGTTAGGGTACGCTTGTTGCACCAACACTTGAGGTACTGGATTTGGATAGAATATAGGTTGACCACTATAACCTTGCATATTAGCAGTACTTTGTGTCCCGTAAGGAGCTAAATACAATAATTAAGTTATAAAATGGTTAATTGATCAAAATATAATCAAAAGTGCTGTAAATTAATTACCCGCCGCATAAACACTGGGAACAAGAGAATCTGTGGAAGTTGAGTTTTGTAAACCTGAAGTTTGCGGACTTAAAGAAGTATTCCCATTAACTGGCATATTAAAAAAGGCCATTCCATTTTGATAGGTATACATAACTGGTGCTAACATTGGTTGAGCTGGTGTTGGCAGTGGAGGAACTGAATACTGTTGAACTTGACTACTATACGACATTACATGTGATTGCTGTTGAGGTGAATTGTTGGGATCGTAATTACTTTTGTTATCCTTTTTTCAAACATACAAACAACAATTATTTAATTAAATAGGTACACAAAAATTATAAAAAACAAAAATAATAGTTATACAAATTAGTATTATTATTAAAAATAAAATTATAATATTTTATGGGTTTAATTTTAAATAAGAAGTATATTGCAATAAATATATAAAATATATTGCCTGAAATTATGGTAACTGATCAATTTGTGGACTTCATTTACTATCTGTTTATTGGTTAAGAGAATAGGATAATTTGGTGTTTCATTCCAACAAATAGGAGACATAGCAAATTATAAAACTTAGAATTAAAATTATGGCGCTCACACTGAAATTAGTAGTGCAAAGACAGGAAACAAAACTTAGAATGGCACATTTATTTTTTGTTATTTAGCATTTTTAGAATAAAAACTTCAATTTCAACAAAAAAAAATCTTATTCTTTAAATTATGTAACTTGTGTTTAAACTAAAATTTAAACTTAAGAAGACGTTATACCCTTACGTGCTGTCACCATCTTACCATCGCGTGAAATAACAAATTTTCATTTAGCAGGGACATCTTTGTGCTGTTAGTTTTAACAGGTATAACTTTATTAATTAATAATGAATCGCTTATAAATTAAAATTATATAAAAAAAAAAAAAATACAAATAGTGTTTTTATTTTTAAGTTTGATAACAGTTCAAAAGCCCACTCTACTATTAAAACTAATAGCACAAGAGTTGTCTTAGCTAAACGAAAATTTACTGTCGTGTAGCAGTAAGACGAAGACAGAACATACGGATATAACATCTTCTTAAACATCACAATTTTGTTAATTTTAAGTTGCATGTTGAACTGAGACAATAAATGCAGATATCACATCCTCTTAAATCTCATTTTTAATTTATAATTATTATCTTCTAGTTTAAACGGAAGGCTCTAAAAATGTATAGGTATTTTTGTTTAGATACATTTCTAAATTAAAAAAATGAAAACTGTATATTAATATTCACCAAATGATATATTAATGTGAACAAATAAAATTTTGTCCTTTGGAATTCAAATACTATGTATACTTTAACCACTAATAGGTACGTGTAATAATATCAATTAACATATTTGTGTGTAATTTATATTAATAAAACAGAAAATTTTAACAACAATTAAAATTAAAACTAAATAATTTCTCAGTAATTACTAGAATATAAAATTTAAGTAAGAATGTTTAATAAATTAAAAGACAGCTTCATTGATCACATTCTGATATCAAATACAAATTATTTTATCTGTTTTTAGGGCATATGTTAGATAACAATAATGTTACGCTGATGTATTTTCTTATCTAAAAATAGTAAAGATAAAACATAACAAATAAATACATACTTTCTCAAACGCAGGTGCTATATTAATTCGTTTATCTTTAAACAGCAAAACAGGACCCTATAAAGAAAAAATACATTAATTTATTTTCCAAGATAAAACATAGGTACTTATATTTAATTAATGAAATATAAATTTAACTTACAATTTCGATAATCTTCTTAACTTCTTCTTCAGAACCAAAAGTAATAAAACCGAATCCTTTGAGAGCACCGCCTTTATCTTTAACAATCTTTACTACTTTGACCTCGCCATATATGGAGAAGAAGTTTCGCAATTCATGTTCTGTAGTGCCATTGGATAAACCACCGACAAAAATTCGGTTTGGCACCATGGTTGATCCAATATATTTATCCGCCACGTTAAAGTTTCTATATCTGTACGTTTGATGTTGGATACTTGACAATTCTAGGTGTTGATATTTCTCTTCAATGCTAGTGTAAGTTATCTTTAAAAAATAATAAATTATGTTAAGATTATTAAACAATTCTTTTAAATAATCGCCATATAAAATTTTTACTCTTGTGGTAAATACCTTGCGGCCTCTTTTCATTTGTGACATAATAATAGTTGGACAGTAATGCAGGAAATAAGGATGATGAAATACAAAGGATACCCTCGAGGAAACCTATTCGAAGGAAAATGACAAAATTAACATTAATTTGAAATTCAATCAAAATAAAAGTTTAATATCTACCTATATCTTTACAATGTAATGTCTAATTAAAAACATAAAACCTACCAGAAAAAAAACTACAACAACATTCGTTTAGAATTAAAAAATTAATTATATTTGATAAACAAAAAAAAAGTAATAAAACATTACATTTAATGATAGAAGTGAAAAATTATAGGGATTAATTAATATACCTAATACTGTATATCTATACTTATTATTACATTGTTGCAATTTTCAATTAATTTCACAAAACAGTTACAATTTATCAAATATAGGTACCCAATTTCAAAGTTCATATATGTTTGAAGAGGTCAAATCAATCAGTCGTACACATGCATAACATTAGTAATAAATATATTTAATAAAAATCTTGATTAGAATAAAATACTGGCGCCACAGCCAACGTTTTTATTTTTAGTTTACACTAAAACAAAAATAATGTTTACAAATACAAACTGATTGATGGTGTCCATATTTGATGCAAGTACCTACCTGGAATGAATTTCTGTAGTGATGGTAAAAAATGTTGGGTATCGGGTAATAATAATAATTACTGAAATACCGGCCTACCTGTATTTTTTGTTAATAAGGTTGACGAGTTATAATATTATTACTGCGACACTGGACTGTTGTACTTTTACGCAATCGTTCGAATTTCGGACACCTTAATTGCGATAAATTATTCAAAAAACCGGTACTAGAAATGAGAAACGCGAAGAATAATTTTTGTATTTTAACGAAAACACTATTGATCCTGGAAAACTGGTATATTACTGGCGCAGCACTTTGTGTACTTTAACCTACTGATAGACGGAAAGAAAGAGGGAATTCAATGCGCTTTGTTTATAATATTATGTGACATTATTATTAATTTAGTGCGTAGACGTCGTTGACCGATTGGATAATTATGGGTATTCCCGTTGATAAGAAACGGCGATCAGATTTCGAAAAACTAGAGATAAAACCGTAATATCAACAACACGCCGCGAACGGGACCCACGACCAATAAAACGTCCAGGCGACATTCCGTTTCCGCAGTCTTCTAATCACGATCGGTTCCAAAAATAACACAACAGACCTCTCGACTGCGATAACCACTAACGTCGTCTCCCGTTAATAATACAATTATTACCGAACGCTGTTGTAATTTTTTTTCCATCGCGTTTTAAACCGCGCCGCCCGTTACCGTCTGTGAATTATAATGGCGAAGCGAAAAAGTTATTGCGCCGTTGCAGCGAGGCAGAAAAAAATTAAAAAAAAAAAAAAAAAAGGAAAAAAGAATAATAGATATGTAATATCGATAAAAATTAATGTTGTGGTTAACGAGAACCCGATACTTACTTTCAACGCCCTTTAATATTCGTAGTGATGGTGGTGGTGGTGGTGGTGGTGGTGATGACGGTGGTGGTGGTGCGACTTTTGGGGGGTACAACACAACCGGTCGACGGAGACATACATTCATACGATACGGTCAGCTATAAAAAATAAAGGGGGGGAAAAAGAAAAAAAAAAAAAAAAAAAAAAACGAAAATTATACAACATGTGTGACCTACAGAAGAAGATTGATAATAAATCAATTATAAAAATGTGCCGTTTATGTAATACTGGTTATACCGTAGTTGTTGGCCGTAGATGGGCATCTCGTCACGATAATGAACTCTGTAGTCGTATCTGAAGTACCAACTAAGTAGGTAGGTAGGCAGGTGCAGGTAAGTATATCAGAAGTGTAAGTATGATTGGAAAATAAGTGTGTGTGTGTGTGTGTGTGTGTGTGTGTGTGTGTGTGTGTAGGTATGTGCGCGAAGAAGGGTTTTGTGCACCGTGCGCGGTGGTGACGGGCAATGAGCGACAGGAAAAGTCAAGAAACGTAATAATAATAATAATAACAATAATAATAATTAGATTAACGATATTATTAACGAAAATTATTGCGATGTACGCGAGAGGTCGACGTGTTAAATGCGGACGAAATGATATGTAACGAGAGGTAGGAAAAAAAAAAAAAAGTAATAATAATACAATAAATGGTTAATTTACGGCTAAATACGAACGGATTATTAATCTATCGCGGGCGCAAGAACGAAGAAACGAAAAGGAAAAACGCGCACGGGACACGGAGAGAAGTGTGTGTATGTGTGTGTGTGTGAAGAAAAAATCAAATAAATAATACAGAATTTAATAATAATATTAAAAGCAAAGAGTACACAAACGCGACGCGATAAAACATATGCGCGGTGCCGAGCGGTTTGCGTGCGGTGTGTGCCGTCGCCGTGCACTGCGGCGGCGTGCGCGGCTCGTCGCTCCGGTCGGGCGGGGAGGGACTGGCGGTAGAAGAGACGTCGGTGTCGTCGTCGAGGCGAGCGCGCCGTGACGTCACGCGCGCCGAGCGAATTCGCGAGTAATTTATAAATATTTCGCGCGGACCGCTCGAATTACCGTTTCGAACACGCTCATCGTCCGTCGATACGGCGCGCGTTGCTCGCACTTCCAACCACCGTTTGTCACGGGCCGCGTCGAACGTGAGCGCCTCTGCAGAAAAAAAAAAAAAACAACTTAATAACGAAACGGAAATATTTTTATTTCGTTTCAATTATACGGGCTGGGCCCTTTTGGACGTGCAACGCCTAGACACGTGAGATAACAGAAGTCATTACAGAAAATGAATTGTTACAAACATAAAACTATAATAAGTCATAATAAGGGGAATTACACATAATTAGGCCAATAAGTCATTAACGGCAGAATCAACATTGACAGTTGGACATTAGACGTCTTAGAGGCTCATTAGCCGCGTAGTTGGCGGCGGCGTGCGGGACATAGAAGATGGCAGTGGAGCGAGATGAACGAGTAGGAACTTTGAGAGAGAAGGGTAGGCGAATATAATTCGGCGTTATCATTTTAGGCGTGTTTTGGCGGTGCAACTTTCAGTAAACAGTTTGCTGCGTTGTTTGCAACTTGGTCGGTTACTCGTAAAAACGATTCGCTTACCGTGTAGTGTTTTTTTTTGTTATAGACAATGGATGGAACGATGCGATTATAGTCCTTATCAGTAGATTATTAGCACCTAACTGAAAACAGTAAACGAAGTTTTCAATTGTTTTTCGGATTCCGGCAACCCGGTTGCCGAAATGTGCATTCAGCTATCAAACAATTACTGTGAACTATGTCGCAAAAACAGTTTGTTCGCTAAACTAATAACCAGGAATCAGGATGCTCAAAACTTCATCGCCAAAGCACGCCTATTATGTACCCAAATAATATGTCTTGGCATATTTCGTAACTAATCTGTATCCGATATCATGTAATCTGTGTCTTGTATTTTGTATAATGTATTATACAAAATATCTAGTATCCACCCATCTGATAGTTACATCCTCTTGGTAGAGCGAAGGCAGCAGCCGGCAATTTCAAAAAGTGACAACAAGTTTTTGAAATTATACCGCGCTTAGAAAAAATTAATATTAATATTCGGTTTAAAATTACTGGCCTTGACGATTATTTGTAACCGAATTACAACAAACAAAAAAACTAAATCGAAAATAGCAAAAAACCGTTATTGCATAAATGTTCCAGTTTTTCTCAATTACCGTACGATAGTATACCCACTCCAATGCACCAACTAGACAAAATGTCGCTTTTAGACCAGATTAGTACAATTACATCATGACTGGAACAAGATTTTTGTTAGAAAAGTAATTTATATACACAAAAATAAAAAAAAATGAATAATAATAAAAAAAGCACACTTCACATTAAAACCAATATACATTCCTCGTTACGTTTAGAATCTAAAATAGAGGGGATACGACGATATTCCGCTATTACATACTAACATCGCTGCAGCTATTATTTAGTAATTTCCGCTACATAATAGACACTCGGCAAATACAGTATACTGCGGCCCGGGATGGCTGTGTACTTATTGGTACACGTGTTCACTACAAAGTACAAATGTTTACAAAATAATAAACAACTATTATTATTCAGTTTTAGGTGTGGATAACGGGTCGTCGAGGAAATGGTCTTTAGATTGAATTCACGATACAATATAATATTATTATGATGTGGGTACAAATATAGGACCAAACCATTCTTCGTCCATTTTTTTGATTTTTCCCGTGACAAAATCCCACCAAACATTATTAAATAGGTATATATAATATCATTTTTTGACAATAATTTTTCGATACTAAGTTAGTAGTTTATACTTCACATGATAAATTGATAATATTAAAAAGCTTTCCTAGGATAACGGGGACAGATGCAGCCACTGTTGTAGGTGGGAAGTTAGGAAGATAGGATATAAACGGGAATTTAATGATATATGTCTGTAAGCGACGATTAACCATTGCTAACGAAAAAAAGTATCTAAGCAAAGTTCGGTTGATAGTGTTGCTTTGTCAACAATATGTCATATTTTGGTAAAATAATTACCTATGCATTAAACATTTTTTTTCATAATATTTGTTTAATATGTTACCTTTTTTCTTGTTCTTTCGGTTTTCTCATGTTTTTTCCTGGTTTTCCCATTTATTGAGAAAAATCTTGGAAAAATTAAAAAATGACCTCCTTTAAGTACCTCCCGAAACCAATTTCCTTTCAAAAAAAGTCCTATCATTGAAAATAGGAACGAAATACGTGTAGAAAAGTTGTCTACAGAAAAAAAATAACAACAAACATTATTGTAAAAGCATAGGCTTCTTCGCTTCACTCAGAATCTAAAAGTATATGCTTATATTTATATAATTAAATAAGACTAATATACGTTTTAGATTCTGAGCTTTTAGCGAGTAATATATATTGGTGATTTACTATGACGTGTTCTGTATAATATAAATTATTAACAACTTTTTGGTTTGAAATCTTCCTTCGATTATCAACATCAGCAGTGCAGATTACTGGTAGAATATTTTTCTTAGTTGATACATTGGTGTGGTCACTTTAGAGTCTGAGTGGAGCTAAGAAATGTATGGTTTTACAAAGATGTTTATTTTTTCTTCTCACTCCGATTTTTAAGCATATCACTTTTTCTAAAAGGAAATCGGACTGGGAAGATACTTTAAGGAGGTAATTTTTCGATTTTCTAAGAGTTTTCCTAGCAGATGTAAAAAACCCGAAAAAAAATGGGAAAACTGGGAAAAACGTAGGAAAATCGAGAAAATCGGTATAACATTTAACAATTATAATTAAAGAAAACATATAATGCTTATTTAATTATTTTACCATAATATATGACGTATATATTTTTGATAAAGCATTACTATCAACAGAACTCCGCTCAGAATCGTTTTTCCGTTTGCAATGGTTTATCGTTGCTTACAGGTAAACATTAAATTACCTATAACTATGATTATACTCTGTGGGCTGCACCCGTTCCCATTGTTCTAGGACAACTTTTTTTTAAATTTTGAACGACGGAATAATTAGGTGGGCACTATATGTATAAATCAATCTTTAATCGCGCTTAATAATTCTGAGTTACACGCATTGGCATTGAATTTTATATTATACGTAAAAATAGTGATACTGCCAAAAGGCACCTACATCATGCATAAAGAAAATTGTATCCCCCGGCTTCATTTGAGGGGTCTGTAGTGGTGTACAAAGCTATAAAAAAATACCCTCCTTCCTCAACAACATCGTGAAATTAGGATTGAAATTCAATCGCAATGGTATCAATTTAATCTGTTCATGACAATTTTTCCAGGTTTGAGATCATTTGGTTCAAGGGAGCCGTGTTCATAATTAGCAGAGAAATATATATACGTATGATTAACATAACGTGTAAGACACTCATTATTTCAAAAAGTATTAACATTTGTTGGAATTATTAGCTTTTTTAGAACATTTAACAAATTAGCAGCCCTAAAGTGTTACATTAATTTTGTTTTATCACTCTTATTTTAGGGGGTGAAACTATATTACTTACTTTTGATTTTCGAATGGTTTTCAAATGAATTGTTGAAATTTGTAATTTCCGTCAACCCATTTATGAGATATTCCACTTTTAAATTTAAGTGGAGAAAGAGTAGTGGCGTATCATTTCCTGTAGAACACTATTAAAAGTGGAATAACGCATCAGCGGGTTGACGGAAATCAAAAATGTCAACACCAAAATTTATTTGAAAAATAATTTATACTCCATCTATGTAATGCAATTTTGAATAGGTTGTCATTTGAATTTCAAAAGTTGACCCCAAATCTCCATTAAAAGGGCGTCTAATAATTTCAAACCTACACATAATTTTATATTACACTATTTAATAAAAATGTTTCATTGTACATTAATCTCTATCTTCTATAATTATAAGAAAAATGTCTGCAACATAAAATTCTGTTTACTCTGTATATATTTTATATATACAGAGTCTATTATATATATAACAAACATCACAATATAGTGTAAATGTGCAATAGTCTCTATTTTCAGCGAAAATTCGACAAAAAGTTAGTACTTTAGTTTTAAAAAACCGTATAAATATTTGTTCGTAGTAAATTGTAAGTTCTATGTGAATATAATAAACATGTATACATATTACTTAATGCTCTATAAAAAATAATAGAAAAAAGAGCCGACGACGTAATCATAAAACGTTTTAAAGTGGATTTGTTTCATGTTTTCGGTTTTTTTTTTTTTTTTTGTTCAGAAAAATATAAATATGAATATGCATTAGTTCGAGACTAACGAATGGTGAATGAAAAAACCAATTGCTTTTCAGACTATACAAAAACCGCGTGAATATGGTTAGTACATATTTTCTTTTTAAGCCAATGTTCCAAACACTCCAAAATCTTTTCCCGTGACCTTTTTCATTTTTTTGTTTTTTTGTTTATTATACATATATAGTACACGTACCTATTGTAATTAGTGTTGTATTATATTATTTCATAAAAGTCTGTTTGAATAGGCGTGACAAAAAATATGATTTAAAAGTCATTTTATCACTGACATATTATTACACCTATTATAGGTACTTACAAACAATAATAATTTAAATTATTGTTATATTGATTAAAATTATCAACAAGGTTGATAATTTTTAAAAAGAAAATAATAAATTAGACACATGGGTATACTTAGTATTAACAAAATAATATATTATAAGCGTTTAAAATAAATCATGTATCCTTAAAAAAAATTATACAAGTACAGGTGGTACTTATTGTAGTACCTACTTACTACTTAGTAGGTATTAGATATTTAGGTGCCATTAATGTCGAACAGTGTTATTTAATTATTATAATGCTCCTAAATTATTATGCTCTACTGATTAGAATCAGTGGTTCCCAATAATCTCGAGTTGCATAAGTTTTTTCGGTGAGTCGCGAAATCATAATTTACATACATTGTAGCTACAGCCATGGGAGCCCATAAGGAGAGGGCAATACTGGACATTTCCCCCCACCAGAAGATGTTATGTAAACTAATAGTTTTAATAAATTTTCATTTAAACCTTCATTTAGGTAGTATAAATTTTGAGTATTTTTTATTTTGCTTCCTCATAAAATTTAATCTATAGGCACGAATCTGTGAAAGGTTTACCGTTACCATTTTCAACAACGTAGGTTAGGTACCTACCAACCTGATGTGAAGCCAGACTTTTTACTGTAGTCAATCAATCAAAACTAGTACCTTACCCAGGGGCATAATTATGGGGAGGGGGGGTGGTGAGTGGGCTGCAGTGAACGGGCCCCCAAAATTTAAAAAAAATCTTAGAATTATTTCCATGGTTTATGAATGGCGCTGCTAAAGTCTTCAATTACATATTATTGATTTAAAATAATTCGTATCTTTATTTTGTTATCTAATCTTATCGCTCATGGACAAAACTTTACCACGGGGAACGATTACTGAGAATCA